TGCAGCTGATTTACGGTCTACTGTGTCTTTTATATTACCGTGATGTCAGATGTCGGTTGAAATCATTATAACACTGTCACTTTAGCAGGAATAGAGACTAAGGTGATTCAGAATGGAGGACTTTAGCTGGATTTAGAATACCCTAGTTACAATGTGTATGATTTGTGGATATAGAACATGTAATATGTATTTATATAACTGATAGTACTTTGGACAGTTATTCAAAAATTGTAAAAAATAGATTTTTCGTGAACACCTTGCATCATAATTGATTTTCCTTGTTCAATTGATTTTCCTTGATCAATTGATTTCCCTTGATCAATTGATTTCCCTTGATCAATTGATTTTCCTTGATCAGTTCATATAATTTTCAAGTCTACTTTAGTTTTACATCCAGTGGAATCTTTTTCGAACTGTTTTTTTCTGTGGCATTGGCCTGTTATATTGCATTATCCTCATACATAGAGTCAATCCATTTGGAATGAAAGTAACACCTAAGTGAATAATAAATGTATATTCTGTGATGAGAGTTTGATAAAGGGGTGACATATTTTAAGGATTTATTTCAAGATTTGCGAGATATATTACAGATATTATTAAAAAGTATCAAAGTAAGACAGATTTCCTCACATTTCAAAATGTTAGAAATGCTATTTAAGACCATAATCTGAAGAAATTATTCTAGTCAGTTCAAAGTTTCTCCTACCATACAATATCTTCTACCAAAAAATGGAAAATAAGTCTTTTATTGTTAGATCCTCATCAAAATTAAGTTTAAAAAAATAAAAAAGGAAGTTGTCTTTACGATACAATATCTTCTACCAGAAAAATGTATCCAAAGGAAAGTAAAGTCAAAAGGAAACGAAACCCAAATTATGGTAAATGGAAAGATATACTGTCAAAAAAAACAGTGGGAATTTCACAATCTCATGGCAAACAGATGTACAGAGGTTAGTGAGTGGAAATGATTTAGTTGCATCATATATGCATGTGAGTATAAACAATTACTACATTGGAATGCATGCTGCCCAATATATTCAGTTTGAGAAAACCTTGCAGAAACAGATGTTCATAAATTATGTTAATGTGTCCTTTATGTTGGGAATGGAATGTTGTGTGTGAATAGCTTGTAAATAACACAGAAGACCAAATTCTACACGCTGAGGAAACTATTTGATATGAATCCTATTATGATCCTGTCAACGCGTGGATGTGTGTCGACTAGGGAATTAGCTCATGTTTAAGATGAAGTGTACGTACAATACTTTGACAAGACGAAGGAATACGTTGAGCTCTAACTTCTTTAGTTACATGACAGACAAATACACAAGACATCAATGTGGCGAGCGGAGTACCTGCTCAATCCCAGGACGTTTCCTACGATCGGCATTATCCTGCTCGCCGTCGTCCTTACACAAGCAGGCGGTATACCGGACTTGACTCTGTTTTCCTTTCACTCTAGATGTGAGCATACTAAGTATATATACAGTTTTTGACAACAATGGACAGGCGAGGACTCAACAATGGACAGATAGAAAAACAATAGCACTTCCTTGACCAGTTGATGTGATGGCAGACACGGCCAAGGGGGGTGACCAATTAGGTTATAAATGTCATATACAGAAATTAATTGTCTGACAAGTCAATGTATGATGTGGAAGTGATAAGGATTACATAGAATACAGATTAGCGTCATATAAATAATTACAATAAAGTCTCACATGTCTTGAGTGAATAGTTTTTAGTTTTTAAATATTTGGACGATGGCTGTCCTGAATTAGTCCCTATAACAATCCTCTAAATGTTGTAACTTTAGTAACAGAACAATGTATATGGGCATCTAGACAAAACAGAATCAAAACCATAAAAATATGTTTCTTACAAAACTCTCATTGTGGTAGTAGTATAAGTTATTTTTTTAAACCAAAGTTTCTCCTTACTTGTTTATTTTTATTTCAAGTTATTTCTCATTACTTCAATTGTCATTTTGTTTCAATTATTCTCTCAAAATGTTAATTTTTTAAATAAACCTAAAATAAGAAAATAGTCAAAATTGCAACCAAATAACTTTAGAGTTTTTTAAATCAACTTGAAATAACAAGAACATAATTGAAATTGTAAAAATACAAAGTAACAAGAAAAAATTTACAAATTTTGAAAACAATATGTGCAAAATAAAAATAAATATTAGCATCAAGAATTAAATCTATGCTACAAATTAGGCATCAATCAGATTTTGTAATTATACACAGAAAAATAATTGCTGGTAAATACTGTGACTCAACAAGGCGTATTGTAAATGCACACTTTCATGCATTCTAGTCCTCATTGGTTTTGTGCCACAGGAAGGTATTAGGTTAAAAAGGGTTAATCTGAAAGCACAATGCGTCCACCAAGCTTATATAGCCCAAAGCTATGAATTTTTTGTGTATTTAAGCGCAATAGAATAACAGTGAAGCTATGTGTGCATCCTAATATGTTCCTGAAAATACCAATTGTGTCTATACTGTTATGTATACAGCAAGAAAGTCAATATACACATGAAAGATGTAGTGTAGAAAAAAGGTTTATGAATTTCATATTAGCTTAGCTATAGGTAAAAAGATTCTATTAAAAGTTGGACCACTTGTGCAATGTGTACTTCTTTCATCTCTGATATATATGGATGATAAATGGTACCATTTATGGTGTACCTTTGATATAAATGAGTTAAACCAACATACATGTACTTAGTTTTTTCCAGAAAACAGCTATCTTTTAATAAGTTAGGGAATACATGTATCATATGTTATATTTGGGATTACACTTTCTTAGTAAAGTACCGATTCTAGTATATTTTTAGGGTTAGGTCCTATCCTGGATTTGAACTCACATGCTCAAAGTATAACACCTAATCAACAGCTCACAAAGTCAGTGATCTAACCCACTCAGCCACCGCTTCTTCCACAAAAAGGGAAATCTGACAATTGGTAAGCTACATCACATCCTTTGTGTACCCATCTGACAAAAGTAAATTGGCACATCCCATGACCAAAATCTATGAATGCACAATGCTGTTTAAAAAGTGGTCAAATATAACATGTTACATTTAACCACTTTCTAAATAGCATTGTGCATTCTCAGGAAACACAGTTGTTGTTCATACATGTACCAGGATCTGCTGATTGTGTTTCAAAACCCTATATTAATTATTCATGCAATTTTCATAAATATTTGGTAATTTCTACTCAACAGTTTGTGCAATCTTCATGATAATATATATTTTATAATGAACATAAAAGCCATATTCATGAAAAGGACTGTCAGGTGATACATCAACACAAAATTAAGTGCATTAAAAAACTGTGTTAGACGAATACAAAATGTCAGTGTCACAGTAATCAGTCTTGTTCATTTGCCAAAACAGCTTCCATAGACAAAGAGCACTGTTCGTTATACACATTATATGTGCACACACCAGTTAGTGCATGTGTAACCCATGAAGATCCGGGTTAGAATTGGTCTTCATCAACCCCATGCTTGTCGTAAGAGGCAACTAACGGAATCGGGTGGTCAGGCTCGCTGACTTGGTTTAGTGTTGGGAATTGTTGAAAATCTCGTAATTGATGATTGGTTCATTACAACCGATCAATCATCGAAAATAATTGGTTAGCGTCATTTATGAAATTTTCCTGGTTATTTTTGTTAATGCACCAAAAATAAAGAAAAAACATGTAGTTCCTTGGGGTGATTTTTGCAAATTGCACATCTTTAAAGGATGACTAGTATGTTAGGAACATGAATTTCTTGTCGTCTTTTAAATAAATTCAATTGTGACTTGGAACGAGCATGTCGTGTTCATGAAATGTAACAGACAAAACCAACCGTGTGAGAAATATTGTTAATGCAAGAAGTGTTCCAGAATTGTTTGTGTTCGATTATGAGAAAACATGATCGATTGCTTGGTCGTTTAGTCATTACGACCAATCTTCGATGTTTTCAGTTAATTGGACCACAACTAACTTGGTTGCCACATGTCATTGTATCCCAATTGCGTAGATCGATGCACATGCTGTTGATCACTGGATTGTCTGGTCCAGACTCGATTATTTAAAGAAATGTGAGGAAATCTGTCTTACTTTGATACTTTTAAATAATATCTGTAATATACATGTATCTCACAAATCTTGAAATAAATCATTAAAATATGTCACCCCTTTATCAAACTCTCACCACAGAATATATATTTATTATTTATTTAGGCGACTAACGGGGTCGGGTAGTCAGGTGCTCTGACTTGGTTGACACATGTCATGGTATATCCCAACTGCTGTTGATCACTGGATTGTCTGGTCCAGACTCTATTATTTGCAGACCGCCACCATATAGCTTGAATATTGCTGAATGTGGCGTTCAACCAACCAACCAACCAACCAACAAACAAACAAAATCTTTACAGTTACTTTATGCCTTGTACCCCAGAGTGAGTGAGTTGGATTTAATGCCATTTGGATCATTATTTCAGTAACAACATGGTTCCACTTAAACTAGGTCAAACTCAAAAAGTAATGCAAGTCAAAATCTTATCACTTTGAACCCTTAAGTTAGGTATCTTTCAAGCAAATCTGGCCCCGATTTCTCAAAACAAACTTAAGTCTGAGTTTTGACTTAAGTTAGAGTTTATACTCAAATTTGAGAAATCGCAGGGAAATGCATTTCCCAGAATGAACTGAAATCGATATCAAACTCAAACATAGCAGACAATTAGAGTTTGGTAGATAGATTACTTAAGTTGTTTGGGCTTTTTTATTTTATAAATGCAGTTGAGTTAAAAATTCAGCTGTTTCAAATTGTCAAACTCAGTTTGAAATTTGAGTAAAAACTTAAGTTTGTTTTGAGAAGATGGGGCCAGGATCATAACAGGATTCAAACCTACATTGCAGCAACCTCCTAGCCACCCAACATTACTACAGTAGCACTCTACACTACCATGTCGTTGACATTTGTATTTTTGTTCACAGACTGGATCCAATTTGGCGGCAAGTGCTACAAGGTGATATTAGACTCCGCCACATGGGATGAAGCCAAGATAATATGTAGAAGGTGGGTATCTCGGAGACATGGCCAATGCAAACAGTGCATGTGGTGGGTTATAAAAGTGCCATCAAAACTTTTATAACCGTAAACATATTTCACTTGAGAAGTGATAAGTGTTAAGTGTTGCGGAAAACATCAATCCAGGGTTTTTATTGTTTAATTGGGTGACATACCGCCTCTGTTCTGTTCATATAAGCTGGAAAATAGACCAAATCCTTGCAGGACAAATACTGATTGTAGGGTGGTGTTTCTTAGGATTATTTTATGATTATATCAAGTAATTTTTATAATTTTTATAATTGGTATAGAATTTCAATTTAAAGATTTTCTTTTGCATGATTAGATTAAGTAATTTTTGTACTGAATTGGCATAGAATTTCTTTGTAAGGATTGTTTTTATGATTATATCAAGTAGCTTTTGTACTGAGTTGGTACAGAATTTCTTTTTAAGGATTTTCTTTTGCATGATTAGATTCAGAAGTTTTTGTACTGAATTGGCATAGAATTTCTTTTTAAGGATTTTTTTATCATTAAATCAAGTAACTTTCGTACTGATTTGACATCGAAATTATTTTTAAAGAATTTCTTTTTATGATTAAATCAAGTGATTTTTGTACTAAATTGGCTAAAATCCTTTTTAAGGATTTTCATTTTATGATTGAATCAATTAAGTTTTGTACTAAATTGGCATAGACATTTTTTGTAAGGATTTTCTGTTTATCAAATAATTTTTGTACCGATTTGGCACAGATTTCGATGTCATTTTAAAAGTCCATTAGGTTTGGACTGATTGGCAGTCCTGGCTAAAATGATTCAAGTCATGTGAAACCCAATATATTTTTCAACAAACTTAAATTTGAAGAACTATGTTATTCCAGCAGTGATTCTAACCAAAGGCCCCACACTTTTTATATTTCTATAAACAAATTTAGCTGATTAATTTGTGCTAGCTCAATAGTCTTTTAAATTATTTGACATGAAGTTGGTAGGATTAGTGGGAAAAAATAAACATGTGATTTGGGGATGAAGTGTGCGATGTTTGCTATTGTTATAATTAACTTATATATAACTTATAGCGTATCTTTATTTATTAACATAAAACAAATGTGAAGATTGTGATGAAAATTGGTCTTCGGAAACCTATGCTCGTCATGAGGGGTGACTAATGGAAGTGCCTGTTTTGAGTGACTGCCATGGGTGATGCATGCCATTGTATTACATCTGCATAGTTCATATTTTTGTATCTATCAAAGAAACGTGCTGAAACAAAAACAACAAATGAAATTTTAAAGAAATAATCATGTTGTTCAAATCATTTGTGTCTGGTCCAATATCTCTAAGTCTGATATTAGAAGCTACGGTACTGTTGTATCAAACCAACAAGGAGACACCTTGTGTTTCAGTTTCAGTTCTGAGTGACGCAGCAGTAATTTTATGTCTAGTCAAGTCTTGATCATGGAACTAAACTGTCTAAACCGACTGGATAGAATTTCTTAAGCATGAATATATTCAAATATTATCCAAAATGTCTTTTTTTAACAAATATATGCAATATTCAAATGAAAAATGAAAATTTCAAATATGTTGTGTGTACCATATTTCCTCTAATAAGCAACAGGTGATTATTAGAGACCCGGCACTCTTTGCGCTTACTGAATGTGTTGTGCTTATATCTTAAACAGATGCTTTACCCCTGGCGCTTATTAGAGGGACCGCCTCCGTGGTGTAGTGGTTAGAGCGTCCGCCCGGAGAGCGGAAGTCACGGGGTCGATCCCCGACCGCGTCATACCAAAAGACATTAAAATATGGTACTTGTTGGTCCCTGCCTGGTGCTCGGCATTAATGGGTACAACAAGGACTGGTCAGCTCGGAGTCAGTATAATGTGTCTGAGTGGGGTATTCATGCTTCACTGCGGCGTGATATCTCAGTGGGCTAGCACTATAAAACCAGCTTCAGTCTGGGCTAGTACAAGCAGCCACACATACATACACACGCATGCACGTCGTCATATGAGCGAAATATTCTCAAGCACGACGTTAAACCCAATTTCACCTCACCTCACCTATTAGAGCCCCGATGGTACGGTATTTTTACATTCCTATTTTACAGTTATTACAGTATGTACATGTCTAGGTATTTATTACTGAGATAATATGCCAGGTGATCAGTGATACCAGGGTACCCGGATACATTAATTAGGACATACATGGGTGTTGTCAGGCCAGACAAGCTGACTACCACCTTGCACCTTAAAACTATAAATGTTAAGGTATATGCAACTTGAACCTTGGATCTCCAACCACCTTAACCCACACCACAGAGACAGTTTCAGTGCCAGTCTATTGCAGACTGATGTCACAGAAAACAGACATTACAGTCATTTACAAAAAAAACATGACCTAAAAGTTCAAATTTAAATCAACTTATTGATGTCGGTCTTTTTAACATGGTGATATTTTTCTAAAGTGTTTAAATCACAGTGTTATTTGTGTCTGTTGCAAAAATCTCTTTTTAATTTTGTGTCAAATTATCATGGTGACATCCTGTGGATCAGTTTATGATCTTAGTGTGGCAACAGTAATTTTGTGTCAAATTACCAAGGTGACATCCTGTGGGTCAGTTTAAGATCTTAGTGTGGCAACAGTAATTTTGTGTCAAATTACCAAAGTGACATCTTGTGGGTCAGTTTAAGATCTTAGTGTGGCAACAGTAATTTTGTGTCAAATTACCAAGGTGACATCTTGTGGGTCAGTTTAAGATCTTAGTGTGGCAACAGTAATTTTGGGTCAAATTGACAGGGTGACATCTTAATAATAATAATATGTGTATTTATAACACACTGGATTCCATACAAAAGTGTATACTCAAAAGCGCTACATATAAAGGTGATTGGAGTGCTACAAGACATAAAACATTTGTACATAAAAGGGTTGAAACTTTTGACGATATGTTTGTTAATCACTGTAGTAGAGGTGAGTGTGTGAGTGAGTTTAGTTTTACGCTGCACTCATCAATATTACATCTATATGGCGGCGGTCTGTAAATAATCGAGTCTGGACCAGACAATCCAGTGATCAACAGCATGAGCATCGGTCTGCGCAATTGGGAACCGATGACATGTGTCAACCAAGTCAGCGAGTCTGACCACCCGATCCCGTTAAGTCGCCTCTTACGACAAGCATAGTCGCCTTTGTGGCAAGCATGGGTTGCTGAAGACCTATTCTACCCCGGATCTTCACGGGTCTTCTGAAGAGGAATGTTTTTGAGGCACATTTGAAGGAATCAACGGATGTTGTTAGTCTGAGTTCGAGTGGCAGCTGGTTCCATAGTGTTGGAGCTCCATAGCTAAAAGAATGGAAACCAAAGGCTTTTAGTTTACATCTTGGGATGACCAATAGATGTTGATCAGCTGATCGTAAGGCTCTTAGTGGAACATGTTTGGTCGCCAACTCATTGAGGTAGTCAGGAGCAGTTTCATAATGATAATAATAATAATAATAAGTGCATTTATATTGCGCTATTTTCCATCCGTTGCGGTTGCTCAAAGCACAGGTATTAAGGATAGTACTTAGAGAAGAGATGGGTTTTAAGTTTGGACTTGAAGACAGCTAAAGATGGGGAGGTTTTGATATCAAAAGGAAGACAGTTCCAGAGAGAAGGAGCACAGAATGAGAATGATCTCTGGCCGAAGGATTTGAGATTGGTCCTGGGGATGGTAAATAAAAGTTGATCATTCATGATAGCGCTAGTGGGCTAGACTCAAGATTTTGTACTCCACTTTGGCATTATATATAGTCATCTTGTGGTTCCTAATAAGATCTTAGTGTGGCAACAGTAATTTTGTTTCTAGTAACAAGGTGAAATCTTGTGTTTGGATATTCATATAGCTCACATATCCATGCACTAGTGCATGCTCAAGGCGCTGGTATTTTTCCCCTCAATCATTGGATGTCAATCTCAACAGCACATCTTATTATCAATCTCAGCTCCCTGGGGATCATACAACTCTTGCTGCCACAAGGCGCACCAAGTTATTGCAGCTTTCCCATCTTTATATGAAATAGTTAAAATTTTATTACCACAGTAATTTGTATGAGCAAAGCACTACGTCAGATCACATTAGTCACCAGTAGTGTAGTGTTAGGAACAGTCTCGGACTGCCTTCATGACTGCATGTCTGACCCCCATTATGTATGTGTATATAGTCATAGCATCTCTGAAAGCTCTGTGATGTTGGTACACTTAATCCAGGCTATTGTTAATGAGAATGACAACTTTAACCTTACTGACCTCTTAGTCGCTACAATGACGTCCTTGCATTGTGACACCGACACAGTGGCTATTGTAGATACTGGGACATAACAAACTTTATGTTTTCTGATTTGATGGTGTTATTGAACATGCAGTTGCTGAAACTCAATTTTATTTTAAGAATGCCTTGTTGAATATATAACCTAAGAATACAGAATGTGGTAATGGAAACTCTTTTTATTATGATTTTGTTTGTGATATTTTTCTATATACAGGTCTCAAAAAACACAAAAACAAATGTCTTATTTTTGTTAAAAAATATTTAACTTTACTATGTTATACTATTTCAAAGAGGCATGGATGGCTCATATATGATTCAAATCTAAATTTCACAAACGGCCACACTCTACGTACATGCACACCAAAGATTCAGGTTCAAGTCCCCACATGATTACAATATGTGTGAAGCCCATTTCTGGTGTCCCCCACCATGATATTGCAGGAATATTGCTAAAAGCGGCGTAAAACCTCACTCACTTACTCACCCTCTCACTCACTCATTCACATGTTTTTAGTGTTTTAATTTTTATGAGTTATCCACATCACTTCATAAATGCAATAATCTTGATTTTCAGTTCACATCACTTTTTAACTTGCTGATTGTTCTCTAACCACCAGTACTAGAAATGCCTGGGATTACCAGCATACCGGAATATCGCAATACCCCTTTCAAACCATATGTATTGCAATGTTTTTCTCAGAACTGGTATATTGGGTAATAAAGTATATTTGAAGTTTTGTGATTATCTCTATGGTTTAATTTAACATCTACACAGACTTTCATTCACACTGAAGGTTTCCATTGGAATTAATTGACCAAACAGCATACTTTACATACAATACATTTTATAAATAAGAAAATGCAATCCCTCAAAATCAAATCGAAATTCGAAATTTCTATTATCACAACCATTAAGTTTATTTTTATGGATTGAGTGTGTTGAAAATAGGCTCTGTATGTACAATAGATGCCACTCACTGTCAAACACTTAGGCTCCCAATATATCGCAATACATATCGGGATTGAGTACCAGAATCGCAATATATTGCAATACAATTTTTTTGCCAATACACAGCCCTAACCAGAGCCCTGTTTCACTCAAGCTCTCGTAAGCCTAAGATCTCGTAACTTTTCTCGTAGCATTCTGACGTACTATGTTACAGTATAGGAGGTACGAATGCTACAGGGAAAGTTACGAGATCTTAGGCTTGCAAGAGCTTTGGGAAACAGGGGCCAGCACTCTAACAGAATCATCCTAAGAAGAAAGAAACTGTTCCTGGCTGCCGTTGTACAAAACAACCTTAGAGCTAAGGCTACCTTAAGTCCATGTTAAGGTATGGGAGTTACTGTCACCTTAGAGCTTAGATCGTTTTGTACAATGGCACCCTGTACAACAAGTCCTTCTATCTCGCCGTCTAATTTAATCAACATGCGTTCGTACAAATCAGGAACACATGCATAACAAACAGGGCATGGATTTATTTTAATCAGGAAAATTTGAAGCTGTCAATTCTTATCTTCTGTTTCCAGTTATGGAGGAAGTCTTGTGAAGATTAAAGGCTTCAACAAGAACAAAGGAATCAACAAAATAATTAAGGACCTCCTCAAGGGCAACTCTGTGAAGATAAGTGAGGCTGCCGCTCAATACACATGGATAGGTAATGAAGACATATATGCTACATTACATGCTATGAAGCTCTGTACATTTTTCACTGTCTTGTTACCTCAGGATGTTGAGGACCGCCTCCGTGGTGTAGTGGTTAGAGCGTCCGCCCGGAGAGCGGAAGGTTGCGGGTTGGATCCCCGACCACGTCATACCAAAAGACGTTAAAATATGGTACTTGTTGGTCCCTGCCTGGCACTCGGCATTAATGGGTACGACAAGATCTGGTCGGCTCGGAGTCAGTGTAATGTGTCTGAGTGGGGTATTCATGCTTCACTGCAGCATGGTATCTCAGTGAGCTAGCACTATAATACCAGCTTAAGTCTGGGCTAGTACAAGCAGCCGCACATACACCTACACACGCATGCACGTCGTCATATGAGCGAAATATTCTCAAGCACGACGTTAAACCCAATTTCACCTCACCTCAGGATGTTGAAGTTGAATATGGGGCGGTGGGGTAGCCTAGTGGTTGTTCTCTCACCACCCTGAAGACCCGGGTTCGATTCCCCACATGCGTACAATGTGTGAAGCCCATTTCTGGTCCCCCGCTGTGACATTGCTGGAATATTGCTCAAAGCGGTGTAAAACTAAACTCACTCACTCTCTGAAGTTGTATATCTTACTATCAGGGGCATGTACATAGTTGAGCAGGTCAAGCTGTTACTTGCCATGGGCTAGATCCAGGTTTGTTTCTCTTCATGGGTTTAATGTGAGAAGCTCATTCTTGGTGTCCTATGCTGTATGTAACAGATGTTTACCTGAGTCTGTCAATTTATGAGTCTAATACTTGATTCCACAAAGCATTTTTCCTGCTACAAAGTAAAATATGGCAGAAACTTTTCTATGACACCCGGGTTTGATTCCCCTTGTGGGTACAATGTGTGAAGTCCATTTCTGGTGTCCCCTGCTGTGGTATTGTTGAAATATTGTTAAAAGCAACGTAATGAGAAACTCACTGACTCACTCACATGTTATCATTAAATTTGTTCCATAACACGACTATTGCTTCAGTATAGGGCATCTTGATGGATTTAATTCTCACTGTTATTTGTAGACAGTTTATTAGTTAAAATAATCCTTCTTCTCGTTAGTGGGTAATGTAAATACTGAAGGTTCAACCCTCAGTCTTTTCGTCATGCTTGAGGTTTTACATTTTCAACCCAAAAGCAAGAATTGTTTTAACTATCTTAAAAGCCATAGTTATGTTTGAACAATACATAATAAGCCTTCATGAATTATAATGACCGTTTGAGATTATATTACCCAGGGTTCCAGCGGGCAGCCAATGGCAGCTATTCATGGTCTGATGGCGAGACGACTGCTGAACAACAAGGCTTCTGGTCAGAGGGGAATCCAGTTCAGTACAAACATGGTACGTTCAGCAAGTAGATGTATGTCAAGCTCCGCAGAAATAACCTCATCCCCATCCTTGCTTATCATCCTGAATTTCTTGTGTAATTAGCAACTGAAGATGAGAGATGAGGCCCTTCAAAAGAGGCTGGCCTGATAACTTGATTAGACCCCTGGGTTCCATCATGGGGTCGGGTATCGTCTTGCTTACAGAACCAGACAAATTAGGTATCAGGTAAATGGGTTCTAAGTACGCTTCAAAATGCCTTATTTACCTAATGTAATTTTGCATGGTCAGACTCTAAAGATTTTGGGGGGCAACCTCAAAATAAAACACAAAATGTTTGCCTCAGTTTTTACATAAAAAGAGTAAAAGCTCATTATTTTATTCTCAGAGATGGTACTTTTTATAACCTTGCCAGACATTTGGCATTAAGGGATAAAACAAAGGTTGGCTCAGAGTCAGTATGCTGTCTATAGTATCTCAGTGGACTAGGTCAATATAGCGACACATTAGTTCGAACATAGCTGACAGAGTTGCATCCCTTATGCATGGCAGAGGCAAATGAAACGAGTTTAAATCCCAGTTTCGTCTTGATTATGTGTCTAGGTTTGTCAGTGCCAATACAATTATCTTGGATCTGAAAATGTAAATGTGACAGATAATTAGAGATTTCATCTAACAGCTGCTGTGACACTCACTCACTCACTCACTCACTCACTCACTCACCACTCCTCCTCACTCCTCTCACTCCACTCACTCACTCACTCACTCACTCACTCCTCACTCACTCACCACACTCACTCACTCACTCACTCCTCACTCTCCACTTCACTCCATCTTCACCTCACTAGTGAAGCTAACATAGTGTGCCTGGTACTGGCATATTATCTGAGACTGACACACTATCTAGTATTGACAAAATGTCTAGTATTGACACAATTACTTACAAATCTTTACTGACACACTGGAATTACCGATGTTTCAGGATCCAGCAAGTGCACAGACGTCGACCTCCTGTCCTCCAAGTATGGAGAGTTCCGCTGGAGTCTGCGAGGTTGTGAGAAAAAGAAGCCATTTGTGTGTGAAGTGAAAGCATGTAACAAGCACAGCTACCGGTGTGCTGACGGCAAGAAGTGCTACTGTAAATACTGCAAGTGTGATGGACAGCAGGACTGCCAGGACGGGTCCGATGAGTGGGATTGTGACAATGGTAAGTGTTCAGTTCATCATTACTGGCAAACAAGGATAAGTTGGACAGGCACAGAAAACGCGTTTACAAGAAGTAGGCAGTGCACAGCAATGAACAAACCCATTTGGTTTGTGAAAGGTAGAGCGGGCCCTGATTTCTCGAAACAAACTTAAGTTTTTACTCAAATTTCGCACTGAGTTTGACAATTTTGAAACAACTGAATTTTTAACTCAACTGCATTTTAAAATTAAAAAGTCCAAACAACTTAAGTAATCTATCCACTAAACTCAAATTGCCTACTATGTTTGAGTTTAATATCGATTTCAGTTCTTTCTGGGAAATGCATTTTCCTGCCTTTTCTCAAATTTGAGTAAAAACTCTAACTTAAGTCAAAACTCAGACTTAAGTTTGTTTCGAGAAATCGGGGCCAGATGTAGTCTAGTGCACGTGCATTAAATGACGATGAAATTGATTCCGTGCGTAGCTGCACATGCCTTGCTCATAAGACTCTCACATCGGTGTAGCAAGTCGCACTGCACTTGATCGCGAGACAACCTGGGGCCCCTTCACTAACAATGGCAAGCACCAGTGGGTGGCACTCATACATGCTAACACAGGTCAATTGTCAGGTCGGTGCACAGCTTATCCTTGTTTGCCAGTAAATCATTACAGAGTTAGAATTGGTCTTCAGCAGCACCTGCTTGTCATAAGAGGCGAGTAACGGGATTGGATGGTCAGACTTGCTGATTTGGTTGACACATGTCATCATATCCCAGTTGCATAGGCCGATGCTCATGCTGTTGATCACTGGATTGTCTGGTCCAGACTCAATTATTTACAGTCCACCGCCATATAGCTGGAATATTGCTGAGTGCGGTGTTCAACAATAAACAAGCAAACAAACAAAGTTTTTACAATTACTTCACCTTCTGCACCCCAATGTTGTCAGCCTTTCTATATCCTGTACATCAAATCACAATTCAACAAGCAGTAGTATTTTCCAAAGCATCACATTTGCAGTACCGTCATATGAAATATGTGGCCTAATGTGTGGTAATGCAGATATCTGTGTCTGTAGGTCGGCGGTGTGGAGGAGAGCTGTCTGGAGCAAGTGGAACATTCCATACCACCAACTTCCCAAAGAAATACCCGAAACACACAGACTGTGTGTGGAGGATCAATACAGCAGTGGGTACCAAGGTCCAGTTAGAGGTCAGTGTTTTGTCCAGGCTGAGCGTCCATACAGACCCTGAAAGAAATCTTCTGTCTATAAATCACGTATTAGAAAATTGAGAATATTACCCTGCTTGCAAACCCTTGACTCTGCACTCAAGTCTGTCTAAACCTGAGTGAGTGAGTGAGCGAGTGAGAGGACTATTTATCAACCCACTATGAGGTGAGGTGAGGTGAGGTGAGGTGAGGTGAGGTTAAATTGGGTTTTACGTCATGCTTGAGAATATTTGGCTCATATGATGGCGTAAAATCGCGTATGTGTGGATGCGGTGTATTGTACTATCCCAGACTGAGGCTGCTTTTACTAGTGCTAGCCCACTGAGGATAAATCCAGACTTCAGCTGGTTTGAGCCGACCAGTCCTTGCCGACCAGTCCTTGCCAATTAATGCCACCCACTATAAGAGTCTGCCAATATATGTATGTAATTAGTCTGCCAATGTATGTATGTAATTAGTCTGCCAATGTATGTATGTAATTACAATGATATATTCAAATTGCGGTCAACAGTTGAATGAAATTGCCTTGATTATTTCAGTTTGTCAACTTTGATGTTGAGTCCAAATATGACAGCGTGACGGTGTATGACGGTGCTGATGACACGTCACGCCAGCTGGGGAAATACACCGGGAACAAGAGACCAGCCGTGCCCCTGGCCTCAGGAAACTTTCTTCTTGTCAAATTCAAATCAGATCATTCCAAAGAAAAATATGGCTTTAACGCAACATGGAATGCAGGTAAAAATCAATTGCTCATTTAGCTTGTCTGTAGTTTTTAGACCAGGGTGTGCAACCAACTATTCAACATAAACACACACACCATGATAAAACTGAACTTCTGTTCAAAGACAGGTTGAACCCAAATTACTCGTCAGTAGAGGTTGCATACACATATTCCTGTTAAGTATTTGTTACAGTGGAAGCCCTCTAAACCGGCAGCCCTCCAATCCAGCATGCTCTCAATATTGGCACTAGAATTTGATCCCAGCAGAAGCTAGTTAATTTATGATAATTTACACACCCTCTAATCCGGCGTCAGTCTATTCCGTATTTCGGCACAACAAAGACTGCCCAATTGACTGTTTGTACAGTAATTAACGCTCTCCAAACCGGCATCCGATATCTCTGCTCTCCTGTTGATTGGCTGATTGGCTGAACGTGTATTAACAACACAGTGGATTACCATCAGCATTAAGCTCATTGATGTTGTCTGATAAAAGAAGTATGGATAAGGATTAGGCCTAAGTAGGCGAGGTAAATTGGTGAATGACACATGTCACTTGTATTATAAATTAATTGTTGTGTGAATGAAAACAGTAAATTTGACCAAATTAACATACTGATGCATGACTCGTTTTTGACTGTTTACAGTAAAAACAGGCTCATTTCTGGCCCTATTATGCCACGTTGTTTAGTCGTATTTTACGGCAAACGGAAGATCATTCTCAGGTTGAAAAGGGAAAAGTTCTCTAAACCGGCATGCCCTCTATAGTGGCATTTTTTGTCAGTCCCAATGAATGCTGTTTTAGAGGGCTTCCACTGTAATTGGATAAAAATGGTGAAGACACCAGTTGGAATTGGTCTTCAGTAATCCATGCTAGTGAAAAACGGAATCAGGTGGTCAGGCTCACTGACTTGGTTGATATATGCCATCGTATACCAAAATGTGTAGAGCTGTGAAGATCTGGGTTAGAATTGGTCTTCAGGAACCCATGCTTGTTTTAAGAGGTAAAAAAACAGGATTGGTTGGTCAGGCTCGCTGACCTTGTTGATATATGTCATCATGCTAACACGGGTCAGTTGTCAGGTCGGTCCACAGCTTAGCCTTGTTTGCCAGTAAATCATTACAGAGTCATGAAGATCTGGGTTAGAATTGGTCTTCAGTAGCCCCTGCTTGTCATAAGAGGCGAATAACGGGATTGGATGGTCAGACTTGCTGACTTGGTTGACACATGTCATCATATCCCAGTTGCATAGGTCCATGCTCATGCTGTTGATCACTGGATTGTCTGGTCCAGACTTAATTATTTACATACCACCGCCATATTGTTGTAATATTGCTGAGTGCAGCGTTAAACAACAAACAAACAAAACAATGTTCATGTTTTCTTATTTTGTTGACAGTAACATTCAGTGGGCCCCAAGATTCCTGTGGAGGGATGCTGACTGCTAGACGTCCGGAGAACTGGTTCACCTCACCACAATACCCAAACAATTACCCTGAGAGTATTGTGTGTGACTGGACAATCAGAGCAGAAAACTCAGGAGATATTGTCACACTACAGGTATGTCACAGTCCAAAATAACACCACAACCTCTTCCTAACACAATCAACTGTGAAGAGTGAGTGAGTGAGTTGGGTTTTACGCCGCTTTTAGCAATATTCCAGCAATATTCCAGCAATAATCGTGAGGGGACACCAGAAATGGGCTTCACATATTGAACCCATGATGGGAATCAAACCCGGGTCTTCGGCTTGACGAGCCAACGCTTTAACCATTAGACTACCCCACCGCCCCTCAAATGTGAAGAAACCAGAAAAGTTCGACTTGACATTTCTAATAACAGTGTTTCATCCATGATGAAACTGGAACATTAGGGTTCAGGAAACTTCAAGTAAACAAGCAGTAAAGTGTTTACCTATTCAGATAATGATAATATATGCAACAGTGGATTTGTTTTTTGACAACAGATTTGTACTTTATCACAACAGTTTTGTACTTTATCACAACAGATTTGTACTTTATCACAACAGTTTTGTACTTTATCACAACAGATTTGTACTTTATCACAACAGATGTTGTACTTATCACAACAGTTTTGTACTTTATCACAACAGATTTGTACTTTATCACAACAGATTTGTACTTTATCACAACAGATTTGTACTTTATCACAACAGTTTTGTACTTTATCACAACAGATTTGTACTTTATCACAACAGATTTGTACTTTATCACAACAGATGTGTACTTATCACAACAGTTTTGTACTTTATCACAACAGATTTGTACTTTATCACAACAGATTTGTACTTTATCACAACAGATTTGTACTTTATCACAACAGTTTTGTACTTTATCACAACAGATTTGTACTTTATCACAACAGATTTGTACTTTATCACAACAGTTTTGTACTTTATCACAACAGATTTGTACTTTATCACAACAGATTTGTACTTTATCACAACAGATTTGTACTTTATCACAACAGTTTTTGTACTTTATCACAACAGATTTGTAGTTTTTCAAGTGTAGATCACATATAGTGGAATGATAAGGCTGGTTTGTCTTGGCCAGTATGCATGTGGTATGAAAGACCCTTATGACTCGGCAGATCCTGGCATAGCCAAGGTATGCAACTCTTCATAGCTAGTTGTAAGCCTTCAAATGACCATATCACCTTTACCTCAAACAGATATGGTATTGTAATGTCAAACAATTCTGAGATGTTTAAATGATCACATTGTGACTTGTGTGGTTTCCTTTACCAGTTTGAGGACTTCGAGTTGGAGAGTCCGTACGACTGGGTGGAGGTCCGAGATGGATCCGGTGAAGACGATGGGCTGTTTGAAAGATTCACCGGTGACAGCTTGCCAAAGATCATCATGTCCAGTGGTCAGAGTCTGTTTGTGAGGATGAAGACCGACTTTGCCTACGTCCTCCGTGGCTTCAATGCCACCTACAGCAGCGGTATGTGTTAGTGAGTGACTGAGTGATGAGTGGATACATCAGTTAGTGAGTGAAAAACTTTATATTGCAGCAATATGAATGAATGACTAAATAGTGCAGCATATATTCTAAAACAGTCTGTGAGACTTTCTCCACTGTGATATACCCATAACTCTCACACTTATGGAAGCAGCCATGAAGATCCGGGCTTGAATTTGTGTTCACCAACCCATGTTTGTCGTAAGAGGTGACTAACGGGATCGGGTGGTCAGACTCGCTGACTTGGTTGACACATGTCATTGTATCTGCATAGATCGATGCTAATGCTGTTGATCACTGGATTGTCTGGTCCAAATTGGATTATTTACAGACCACTGCCATATAGCTGGAATATTGAGTGTGGCGTTAGACAATAAACAAACAAACAACTTATGGTAGTCAAGGTACTATGATCATCCCTTGGTGCTCAAATCAGTCACTGGTTGGTGGTTTAATTACATGGCTTAATGCATTGGTAAAGATGATCAAACCTTTCAGCAAGTATCATCTGCAATGACTATTTAAATTTTCACATATTAGAAAATTCATCCCTAAAAACCTGGCTAAAAAAATCAGCCTTAAAAACATTTTAGCCTAATCTGAACATCCTTTAATATGCCCAAAGGATGCCAAAGTATGACAATGTGGCACTTTAACCGTAGAATGAGTTCGATCTAGTCGTGTTTTCAGATAGGGATCTATGCATAATATGCATCACAATAAACCAATTAATTTTGAGTAGCTTGCATACAAGTACATGTGAAGAAATTCAACAACCCAATTGTACAGCAACTCTGTGCTTTACCCATTGTTACTTTTTCAACTTACATACATGTACGACTAAAAAGGTGTTTTCTAACTGACTGACTGCCAGCATCATACCTACATTATGTCTTCTGCAGCGAATAGTGCATATCTGTGCAACATCTAGCTCATTGTAGCTAACACAGGCATCTCTGTTATGAGGTTAAGTGATATGTGACTCGCTTGACAGAGCACACAAACATATGCAAATAAGTTACCTGAACAGCACACATGCAGAAATATTTACAATAGTCCTCTCATCTGTCTAAAAAAAACAATGGACAGGACCCAGAAGAGTTGAATGTGCAGTAAAGTTAATTTATAACAAACATGCTTATCTGTCACGAGGACTTGCTGTATATTTTAATTGAAATGCGTGAGTGAGTGTTGTTTAATGCTGCATTCAGCAATATTCAAGCTACATGGCAGCGGTCTGTAAATAATTGAATCTGGACAAGACAATCCAGTGATCAACAGCATGAGCATCGGTCTGCGCAATTGGGATACGATGACATGTGTCAACCAAGTCAGTGAGTCTGACCACCCGATCCCGTTAGGGGCTTCTTATGACAAGCATGGGTTACTGAAGATCAATTCTAACCCGGATCTTCACAGGTCTAAATGCCTATGCATACTACAGTTAGATGGTTAAAATTACTGGTCACTTCGAGTTTGTTAAAACCATAGTTTAATGTATTAGATCTGCAAAGTAGACTATTTATATTAACATGAATGATAACATGTTAGTAATACCCAATGGCTAAAAATATTTTACTGTGCAAGGGTATTTCACTTCAAATTTCATATCACATGCATGACAAACTAATAAATTGAATATCCATTTGATATTGCAGTCAACTATATTATTCAGTCTCCATGGCAACTGTTTCAGGATGTGATGTAACAATCCGGTCGGGACATGCAAAAATTGAATCTCCTGGGTACGGCGTCAGTAACTACCCAAATGACATCAGTTGTTCTTGGCGTCTCTTAGATCCCCAGCAGAGAGAACTGTCGCTCATATTTCAAGCCAACTTTGATACTGAGACCAGTATCGATCAAGTGTTTGTAAGTATTGTAACCATGTAAGCTCAAACAAACTGAGTGAGTGAGTGAATTTATTTAATGCTCCTGTGCACAGTGTTTCACTGAAGACATGGCACATCAGCTTAATATTTAAAGAAGATGAGTGAGTGAGTATGGTTTTACGCCGCTTTTAGCAATATTCCAGTAATATCACGGCAGGGGACACCAGAAATGGGCTTCACACATTGTACCCATGTGGGGAATCAAACCCGGGTCTTCGGTGTGATGAGCGGACGCTTGAACCACTGAACCGCACCGCCCTTAAAGAAGATGAGAATCTCATGCATGGCTATGGTACCACAAAGCAAAGATCATACTCAAGGTGACTCTGGGATTCAAACCCATGATCACATGATCAGCAGATCCTTGTGTGACTGAGGAATGGAACTCTTCTAAGCAAAATGAGATGCCTTAGACTGGAATCATGTCAACGGGTACTTGTCCTACAATGGGAGGCTACTCTTCATGACTGACTGACTGAGTTTGGTTTTACGCCGCTTTTAGCAATATTCCAGCAATATCACGGCGGGGACACCAGAAATGGGCTTCACACATTGTACCCATGTGGGGATTCGAACCTGGGTCTTCGGCGTGACGAGCCAACGCTTTAACCACTAGGCTACCCCACCGCCCCTACTCTTCATGAAATGTAGCATTAAAGAGCTGTTATAAAAGTTTTATATGTTGACACTATTTAGGGCAGAATGCTTTCATATTTGTAATGACCCAGTATTACAGTATTACATCAGTGGGATTTCAGTAGGGTTGTAATGATGAATCAAACTATCGATGGATTGCAATTGTTGAGTCTCCGATAGCAATTAATCAGTGGTGGAAATGAAAAACTATTGATGCATCGATAGTATGTGAGACTATCGATAGTTTAGTAATTGACTTCCGTTGATAAATGCTCTGTGAGCGCAAAAAGAGGAAGTACCAGATTCGTTCACTTTTACTTAGAGTTATCTGCCCCTGTTACTTCTTAACAAACTTAATCTGGGTTTCAAGTTTCTTGTCAGTTATTTAAAGAGACTGAAACTACTTCAGCTTGTTTTTATTTTTATATAAACTATACATTCATTTGGGAAATGACCTCAAAAGAGACAATTCTAGGAGAAAAGAAATTGCAATAGTGTTGCAATAGTTGGTCGCAATAGACTATCGCTATCGCAATAGTTGTTTCCCCCTCAATAGTCACCCCTAGATTTCAGTGTTAGACTAGGGGCCCAGCAACCTATGCTTGTCATAAGCATCTAGACCAGTGAAGATTTGGGGTTAGAATCAGTCTTCAGCAACCCATGCTTGTCGTAAGATGACTAACAGCATCAGGTGGTCAGGTCTGCTGACTTGCTTGATACATGTCACACGTCATATTGCATAGATCAATGCTCATGCTACTGAACTCTGGATTATCTGGTCCAGACTTGATTATTTACAGACCACCGCCATATAGTTGGTCTATTGCTGAGTTTGGCATTAAACAACAAACAAACAAAACAAATACAAGCATCGACAACCATGTGGATCAGAGCATCAGACTCAGTGATTGGCTGACGGCATGGTCTAATGATGTGAAACATCGCAATATCAATCACTGGTTTGCTGTCACATAGCTGGAATATTGATGAATGAGACATGAAACAAAATTAAAACAAACCAAAGTAGCGGTACAATGACCTGACTCAAGTATGTTTACATATACGTTTTGTTGTCAGGTGTATAACACTAGTCAGGAAGTCACAGGGTCACATGCAAGCATACACTCAGGGAGAATATCACCGGGGCCATCACGGACTGACGTGGGAGAGTTTTTTGTGCGCTTTACCACTGATGAACGAATCTCACGACCTGGATGGACTGCAGCCATTTCGTATGGTAAGTGTTATAAGATACTGTCTGCATCATAGAGAAAGGTTGTTCTGCATCATACAGAAAGGCAATTCTGCATCATACAGAAAGGCAATTCTGCATCATACAGAAAGGCAGTTCTGCATCATACAGAAAGGCAATTCTGTATCATTCAGAAAAGCAATGCTGCATCATACAGAAAGGCAATTCTGCATCATACAGAAAGGCAGTTCTGCATCATACAGAAAGGCAGTTCTGCATCATACAGAAGGCAGTTCTGCATCATACAGAAAGGCAGTTCTGCATCATACAGAAAGGCAGTTCTGCATCATACAGAAAGGCATTTCTGCATCACACAGAAAAGCAATTCTGCATCATACAGAAAGGCAATTCTGCATATTACAATGGTGAACTTAAAATTGGAGTGGAAGAGAATATGGTTGACAAAACTTTCAAGGAGAATCAACAAACAGAAAATTGACTTATTCATTTTTAATTGTCCTTGCATGACTCTGCTATTATTTTTTACAAGATGTTAATGTTTTGCTCAGACTGCCCTGCTCTGGATGTGTCCAGTCCATTGAACATCAACACAACCGAGACGGCCTACAGCACCGTCGTCAGCTACTTCTGTGATCTGGGCTTCCTTCGTGAGGGGGCTGCTACTGTTATCTGTGATATGGAGGGCCTTTGGCGGCCAGAAAAACTACCTGTATGTATAGGTAAGTAAGGGGGTTCAGATGGGGATGTAGGTTGCAGCCCCCTTCTCAACAGAAACCTTAACTGTACTGGCAGTCAAGTCACTGTGTGACTTAGGTATAACATGCACCCCTTTTTCAACATTCTTGATCTGCTCCTCCAGAAAGTAATAAAAATATGGACACTAAAATAGCACTGAACTCCGCACCGCAGGGACATGCTCTAACCGCATACAACATGGTGGACATTATTATCCCGGATAACCCAAGCTGTCTGTGAGACGCTACAAGGTTAATAGTCATATGATGTATCCCACCGGGTACCCATTTTCTGCTGGGTGAACAGAGACAATTTTGAACAAACTCACTTGTCTTAAGTGAGACCACATGTGTTCTTCGTTGTGGGGCAGAACAGAAAGTAGATCTGAGTTCAAACGTATCTATCAGATTAAACTCTATTGTGAAGTCCTGACCAATTTAAATATTTAGACCTCACATAAACAAAGGTTGTGAAGAGAGAACTCGCTTAATTGTCATTTTAAGATTTACTTCAGTTAAACCATGGCATGTCAGCTTGCAGGTCTTTGATGTTTAGAACTTTCATCAGAGACCATATCTCTGCTTTCATGGAACCCATTCTGACCAGGAATCAAGTCCAAGATCATAGGATTCAGTCATGCCTAAGGGACACAACTCTCGAACCACAGAAGATTGAATGTTATGAAAACTTTTGAATGTTTCAGAGATCGACTGTGGTTCCCCCGGCGTGCCGGCCAATGCTGTCCTTGTCTCCCTTGACAAGACCACATATGGAGGGACGGCATTCTACCAGTGTCTGGAGGGCTATGATCTGATTGGTCAGAACCAGGTCACATGCAGTGAGCAGGGCTGGTCCCCACTTCCTGCCTGTGAATGTGAGTGTCAATGTCCGCCATTGTTGTCTGAATTTCTTTCCAAGGTTGATTCATTCTTGATTGTCCAGTGTTTCTCTGTTCTGTTGTAACATATCCCTATAATCATAATTTATCTCACTCATAAACTTGAAATCAACAGCCAAATAAAATGTCTCTTGTGAGCATGAGTGGGCATAGATCTACATACAAAATTGCAACCTCATCCAAACGGCCCTCAAAATATTGATTTGAATCAGGAAAACATGTGTTAATGAAGATGTAGCTTGTAAAGATTTTCATGAGCACTAGTGAGTGAGTTTAGTTTTACGCCGCACTCAGCAATATTCCAGCTATATGGCGGCGGTCTGTAAATAATCGAATCTGGACCAGACAATCCAGTGATCAATAGCATAAGTATCGATCTGCGTAATTGGGAATCGATGACATGTGTCAACCAAGCCAGCGAGCCTGACCACCCGATCCTGTCATGAGCTCTAAGCCAAGGAAGTAGCGTCCAGTGTACTGCAAGAATTTACAGTCGTACAGACGGCAATATGCATTTTGTCATTTAAGAAGAAATAGCAGACCAAATATCTTCACTAAAAATGGAAACATGGAACCAGGTTCTCCAGAAGACTGCTGTAACACAAAAATGGCTTTTCATCACTTATTTGGCTTCAAATTCCAGTGCAATCTGTTTTGGCAGTTATATGAGATTGATTATTTTCTATTATATATTTATATTCTCTTCTCCTTCAGTGGTTACCTGCCCGAAGGTGCACGCACCTGTCAACGGCCGTGTTGAGGCTGAGGAGAACCACTATGGCGCTGTCATCACCTACTACTGCAACAATGGCTACCACCTGGTTGGATCTGCACAGGCTCACTGCACAGCAGACGGCACATGGTCTTCTGTGGCGCCTACATGTCAGCGTAAGTCTAAAGTCTGGGCAATGAATGCTTGTCAGATTTTATTGACAATGGTCAGAAGATAATTGATGCATTTTACTTGTTTTTCATTCATTCAATGCTTCTGCTGACATTGTACCTCTGAAAATATTGTGGGGTTGTTTCATCCTTATGTATGTCATTTATGAATTATTTTTTTCCCAGAATATCCACAATTTGAAAATTTAAAATTAAGACAATTTTCATTATTTGATCAACCACGATTGTCCCACAGCTGACCAGTGTCCAGCTATTCAGGGAGTGACCAATGGACGACCCAATGTGACTGGCCCAGTCAAAGTTGGGGAGTCAGTCAGCATTGACTGTAACCATGGATACAGACCAGACAAAGATAATGTCCTCTTGTGTCAGGAGGATGGACTATATGACAAGAGTGTACCAGCCTGTCTTGGTAAGTGGGTAAAACATTCAGAAATTGTAACTGAATACGTTACATATGTTCGAAAAAAGGAGAATTCATGTCGTTCAATTCTAATGATTTCATGTTTTGGACTTAAAACAACACTAACGGTATAGTGAAGCTGCATGGCGTCAAATGCCAGAATTCAGTTTTCAGGAAGCATGTTGTGAACATTTTAACAACGTTTCTTACTCAAGCTGAGATGTAAATAAAAACAGTAAAAACCTTACGATAAAATGTTGACAAAAGAAACTGACTTGCTCATAGTTCGAGATACTTGTAAAACTATATAACAATTCACCCATGTTTCCACACTTGTGTACTTGATGCAATGATCCAAGTCAGTGGAGAAACATTAGCCGATGTAAGAACAACAAAGTCAATGTCCAAGATATTTTTATGGATTAAACTTCTTTTTTATTTTCTCTCACGATGTTTCGAGACCATTCCAGGTCCCATCATCAGGTGAACAGTTCACAATTTTGAGAGAAAATAAAAAAGAAGTTTAATCCATAAAAATATCTTGGACATCAATGTACAACTTCTAAATGCCACTGAAAGACAACAAAGTCAATGTACATTTTTGATGATTCTCCTGCCAAAATCTTAAAGTTTTCAGTAATTTGTAAATTTGATTAAAATGATTTGACCCAAAATGACCCTACTTCATAAACCATCCTTTACAGATATGAAAAATATGAAGCAGTATGTGAAGAGAAAAATATGTAATGATTTCTATGTGATCCGCTCACAGGAAAATCTGTTGAAAATACAGAAAACACTATTAAAAATATGTTTAGATTTACTGTGACCATATACATGTAAACATGTCCGTGCTTAATTTGCATGCCATGGCACAGTAAATATTGAAATGGCATGGCTGAAATATTTTCAATGTGCCCTGGAGTCACAACTTATGTTATTAAAATAATGCACACCATAATTCATTTAATGGAAAATATAAAAATTTGACCAAAGGAAATGATTTGAAACCTATATCTGCACACCATGAAATTGTTTATTGGTGGTACTCTCAATCTCACAGCTAAACATGGGTGTGGCCATTTTGAATGCCAGTGCGTATAACAGGAAATCTGTTTTGGATGATAACATAGTTTGTGGGTTAGTTCAAGGGTCCAGGATAAATGAAGCGGAACTCTTGCAGTCTTGATAGGGTTAAGGAAATCCAGCTCTCAAGGTTACAGATTTACATGATGTTTACTGATTTGTTAAACAATAAATGACATAAGTGATGTAGAAAGCATGCTTATTTTCACAAAGGCTCACCTAAATTGTCTGTCTGGTGCACAGTGGCACCCTTAAAAAATTGCATTTCTATCCTTGCATTCATCTTTTTCATTAAATGTGACAAAGTGTAGCACATCCGTGAAGATCTGGGTTAGAAATGATCTTCAGCAACCCATGCATGTTGTAAGAGATGATTAACAAGATTGGCTGGTCAGGCTTCTGACTTGGTTGACACATGTCATTGTATGGCAATTGCGTAGATCAATGCTCATGATGTTGATCACTGGATTGTCTGGTCTAGACTTGATTATTTATAGACCACCACCAGATAGCTGGAATATTGCTGAGAGTGGCGTTAAACAACAAACAAATAAACCATATATAGGATGATCCTTGAAATATTATGCACTTTGCTTCTTCTGTATTTATACTGAAAGGAGATCTTGGTAGTATCCAACTAAATTATAATCAGTATATCACCACTTGTTTTACTTGTGGTGGGAAGATTTACACATTTTGTGGACTTATGTAATAAAAAGCAAGGTCAGAAATTGTTTAAATTAAATCAAAACCCTACAGTCAATCATGCTAATGGTGATTACTAATTTCTTTTTAAAAATAACTGAGACCAATTTATGACACATATTGTTTAATTGGCCCAATATGGGTTTGACATGTCTGTGAATCTGAGATGATAATGTGTTGATATTGGACTTATAACCTTGGTGTTCTCTGCAGACATCAACGAGTGTACTGAAGAAGACCTGAACACGTGTGACTTTCACCGCTGTGTGAATCAGGATGGGGATTCAAGTGCCAGTGTGAATCTGGGTACCACCACCCTGATGGAGATCAGACCCGTTGTGAAGGTGAGCTGCTGTACCTCTCTGAAGGTGTCACTTCGACCTCAGTGTCTTGGATAACACTTCATGGTGTCACAATGTCTCAATGTTCATTGCAGGCGCAAGGGAGACACAGTCATCTGAAGTGTTATCCCTTAGGTTTGCCAGAAGTCTGTGATCATGTGTTTTTAGCACCTATGTCATAAGGGTCTTCTGTCTCACAGAAAATTACAGATTTAAACTGAAATACTGTTGAAACAGTAAAACTCACTCGCTCAAGGTGGAACAGCTGGCAGAGTTACATCCCTTAGGCTTGCCAGAGGAACATGATCGTAATTCTAATTCCAGTTTCAGCTTGATTATGGTTTGTCAGCACCAAAACCATTGTCTTAGGTCTGCAACTGTAAATTTGTGTAAAACAATTATGGATTTCTTCCGACATCACTCACTCGCTCATTCACTCTCACTCACTCAACCACTCACTCAACCGCTCAGTGATATTCATGAGGCCATTTCAAGAACATTTAGGTAACAGTTTCTTGGCTCAGGAAGCTGGTCCATCCATACTGTATTGTGTTATAATGACATTGGTGTTTCTATAACAGACATCAACGAATGTGACTCCAACAATGGTGGCTGTAACCAAGTCTGTAACAACAGTCCTGGCAACATGAGCTGTTCCTGTAACGACGGTTACTTCCTCTACCCTGGACCCGATTCTGCCAACATCGATGGCCAGGTCCTTGTCCCAGGGAAGACTTGCATAGGTACCCACTAATGTCACTTCTCATTTCTTACTTGGTATTGACTATTGCATGTCTTGAGAGTGGATTTAGGTGTACATTTTTATTAAGAAATTAGGCCAGACCAATTTTATTTCTTGTTTTATGGATTTTTTTCTCAGAAAACCTAAAGGCAGGAGGGGAAAAATTAAAATCACCAGTCAAAGTAATATTCCTTCTAAATACTCAAAGTATTTTACTTTTGGCCAACCAGTTTGTAGAGAACCCGCCGGACGCAACCCGCGACCTTCGGATTGTTAGCTTCGACAGCTAACCGACTGAGCACGCCCACACTGTTGCACAATGTGCAAATTTATCGAGTCATTCCTGTGACGTCACTGAAATGAACGGAAAGAGTCGGAATAGGTCACGGACAATTACGAAGGTTACGGGTAGACTTGGTGTCTCCGTGATTTTATTCTCCTCGACAATTGCCGAATGGATCCGATGCCATTTGGCACACTTTCGTCCCATTCCGTAATCTACAAATTAACGTGTGGTATGGAATGAGCCGATATGCCTCAAACTGAAAAGGGTTGTTGGACGCCAGCCAGACGATAGATTTCACGGTGAATGCATGAATGACGGCGCGATTTATATAAATCGGTGATTTTGTGACAGAAAAGTGATGTAGGGAACACTGTAAGGATAATGTGGATCGCACTAAGGAACGATGGAGACATGAGCATGTGTAGTGACGGCACGAGGGTGAGTTAGCCTTCGAATGATTACTGAACAAAATTTTATGTTGCGTGTGAAAGAGGCTTGAGTGCAAATTCCAGGCCAATTTCCATTAGCCCAAAATTTCAACATTAACCCATTTCATAATGTACTTTCGACGTTTTTGGTTTCCCGTTTTTGTGTGAAAAAAAAGTATTAAAATGCAAAAAGGAAGAACAACAATGGTACTCACGTATTACACCGGACATGTACCTGCTATATTGGATTAGGTCCCTAACCCTCAGCCCTAACCCTAACCCCTTGAAATATTCCTAATAAATAGAATGCATTGACCGAACCACCTGACATGTACCTACTATATTGCATTAGGTCCCCAACCCCAACCCTAGCCCTAAGCCCTAAGCCCTAAGCCCTAGCCCTAGCCCTAGCCCTAGCCCTAGCCCTAGCCATAACCCTAACCCTAACCCTAACCCCTTGAATTAATCCTAATAAATAGAATGCATTGACCGAACCGGCACAAACACGACTGACGTGTCTAGTGTAATGCATTATTACCGCTTCGAAAAATAAAATACTAATAAAACACTTTTCTATGTAATGGTGCAAATTACTGAATGACAAAAATATATATGTAAATTAAAACAAATACAAAATACAAAATACACAAAACATAACACCTCAGCAGCCCGTAATACAAATAAATATGAGCGTATTAGTGAAAAAAGAAAAATATTTCAAACTGGTGCTTGCAAAATATTGGCGCATCCAACCGATATACAACTACTGGAAACTCTCAACATCGTTGGGCTTATGAAATGACATAGCTCGTAGAGATGAAACACCAGTGAGCGGAGCTTATACGCACTCGCTGAGCCAGACAACCGTGTTACCATGCAGGCGTCATAGGGCATTGTATCGAGAACGTGCTTTCTAACAAAATCACATTACATTACGTAAAAGGGTATTATGACGTATTTTTAAAGTTTGTGGTGCTGTATTCTAAAGGTAGGCCCTTTTGGCAATTTATGAAGTGTATATGGGGCAAAAAACATCTACAAAACATTTTTCTTGTAAGTTTACATTTCTGGCCAATAAAAACATGAGGATTATATTTTTTGAGCAGGGAATTTTTTAATTTTTTTTTCTTATTCTTGAAAAAATATGACAGGCAGATCCGTAAAACAAGAAATAAAATTGGTCTGGTCTTACTGAAGTTTTACAGACACTGACAATAAAAAGAATGCAAATTGTCACATTTACAAAATTTGGAGTCCGTCTATAAAGCAAATAAAGATATGCTTTTGTGTCAACATGTTTTTGCATATTATTCACAGTAAACTACATTTATAACAATCATTCTTATACTGAATTGAGTTATATAATAAATTGTTTGGCTTGTTTTTTTGTCTGAAAAAATTGCAATATTTTTTGGCAAAAATGCATGTAACGAACTATGGGCATAAGAAACTAAAATTAGTGGTCCTTTTGAGTTTGGTACAAACTGTAGGGTACTGTAATATTGTGTTTACTGACATCCTCTGTTCCTTCCTTCAGCTACGTGTTCTGGATTCAACGTGACGGATGGGGAGGTGTTCATTAGCGGAACGCCCCTACCCAGCGGAAAGTACATCCACCCGACTGTGGCCTACATCGACTGTCAGCCGGGCTACGTACCTGACGGACCGGGCAATGTCACATGTCAGGTGGCTGGCGGGTGGACAGCAACTGTCACAAGGTGTACAGGTGTGTGTACTTGCAGAGGGTTGGAAGGAGGGAGTATATGTATACTGGCCACATAAAGAAACTGTGCACACAGAAAATATAAAGATAGGCAGACAGTGTCTTTATGCATAAATAAAGGTGTGAACATAGCAAGTATTGGAGACAATCAAACGCCCATGCAGGTGCCAGGCGACGTGACGTCATTGATGGTGGCCTATGGACTTGCAATGTGTTACTGCATGTGCAGCCTGTGCAGCTGCCCACAACATGTGAAACTCAGAAATTGACATCACTGTCGAAAGCTTGATCTTTGGTCATTCAAACGTTCACAAATTCACATGAAAAGTCACATGCACATCATGCCAAGATTAACATGTGCTCAACGTCATGAAGCCATTGGAATGGTTTGAGCAGGCAGGAGCCAACAACAGGTGGCAGCACATTTCCAATGCCATCGTAACACGATATCTGCATTGTTCAGGCGTTAGGGAAACAGTAATGACGTCGCCGACCACCCACATTCTGGGCGTCCCCGAGTAACGACGCCAAGACAGGACAGATGGATTCGGGTGACTCATATCAGACACAGGTTCCAGACAGCAGTGACCACGTCCTTAACCATTCCCCGGGACTTCATTTGGAAAATTTGGTAGCCTCTATGCGTCGTCGATGCACTGTTACGGATATTGTTCATGTTCTTTTGACATGTTGTTGAGGCCCGATACTTCAGCTTATAAAGTGTCTACATCATGTCGTCTTTTCTGTGTTGTATTCCAAGTCTGAAGGAATTTTCTGTGTGCACAGTTTCTTTAGGTTTAATTAAGGTTTTGCTGAATTTGACCACCATCAATGATTTTCCGGTCTTCATTACTGATATTGGAGATTGTTCTTCAATGGATGTCTTCGAAAGGGATGCTTTTGGAACATGTCATGAAAAGGTGAAAGGTGGAGGTCATGATACAGAATGTACATTTGTGGTTCAGCTTTCTCATTGTGCATTTATCACATTGAATTTGATATAAATCTTTTCGGAAGGTTTTAATCAAGATAGGTGAAAAGTCAAGATCAGAGTTTAGGTTTTTGTAAAACATGGTAATCTTTTGTCAGTTTCTGAATCAAGATTATCACTGTACATGCATGAAGCATTTAATCCATATGGCAAAATTGGATTTCTTTAGCACATGTCATTAAAGGGACAGGATCCAAAGAAATCACATAAAATATTGTGGTAGCAGTTTCTTAAAAGGAAGTGATGGATCTTAAAGGCCCCAAAATAAATGATTTGTTGATTAGAAGGACTTTACCATGCATGAAATTCACCAAAATATCTCTTCTAAGGCTCAAGGAAATTGAAGAATCAACCAGTCATTGATATCCAGTCACATGATAAAATCTAAACATAAATATTCAGTTTTCAGTATTTTAGTACTCATAAATATTTTAGTTTTTCAAATATTTCAGAAAAAAATCACATATAGTTTTGTGATACATTAACCACCTTTTATAATCAGTTTTGTTTTGATGTTTTTAGCAACACTTTGCCCCAAGCCTGACCACCCTCCCAATGGTGAAGCAATGTACTCCGGTCTTGAGCCGGGCAGCACACTGCTGTATACCTGTGACGCTGGCTTCATCCTGGTGGGGCCGGACCAACGATTCTGTGACCTTTATGTGGACCCAGACTCTGGCGTACCCAGACATGACTGGACCGGAGACAAGCCGACGTGTGAAGGTGAGAATGTCTGTACATGGGTTGCGTGTTTAAAGGGAAGATAACTCTTGTTATTTCTTTTTTTATATGGCATGTAAGATGGTTGTTCGTTTCTGTAATATATTAATATCAGGCGTAATATCAAAGTCTTTCTAGGGGACATGTGTGTCATATGGTGTGATAAAGTACTGAAATTTGTATACAGTTGCCTCCCTTAGCTGTGTCTGGATCCACTGAATCTTATCTTCATCCCAATTAGGATAGCTCAACATCCTGGTGTTATAATAACATGCTGTATCAGTTAAAACTCTCATACTTAAACTTGACTTAAGACCCCCATATATCTTAGATCAGTTTTTGAAACAAGGCAGGGTTTGGTTCTCATGCTGTTTTTGAAACTGCTAGGGAGAGAGGCCTTTATTTTAAAAATTGATTTTTTTTTTGTAGGTTGTACATCTAAATTTGATTCTGATTTACCATGTGACTTTATCTGGCCACATTCTCTGCAGACTAGGTATGACATGATAGGTCTGAAGTTGTAGTGACTAAGGATTGATTCTCCAGCAAATGGGTTACACTATGAAAGGCATGGTGTGTGCAAGAACCCAGAATACTGTGCTAAAATGACATCTGAATGGAAAAAGGATCTTTTAACAGTGCTCAAGTTGAACATTAATTCCTCATTAACACTCTTGAGTTCACAATGTTAATCTCAAGGTCATGGGAAACAAGAAATTAGTTTTATGAACCCTTATGTGGCAACCTCCATTTTCTTCAGCTGTTGACTGTGGTGTGCCATCCCAACCTGAGAATGGGGAAGTTCACTACTCTGGTACAGGCTACAAGTCGGTTGCAACCTTCACCTGTCTGTGTGGCTACATCCTTGATGGCTCAGCAGTGCGGACATGTCAGGCGTCGGGTAGTTGGAGCGGCAACAGCACCCGCTGTAACGGTAGGCAGAGAGAACCTTGGAGGAACAGTGTCAAAGAATAATGAAGCCAAACATTTAGCAATAATCTCAAATAATCAGTGAACTTTGATCGAACAGGTTTTAATAATTTGTCAAAAATTTCATTTTAGAAAAATATATTAGAAAGTTCAAAAACATTCTGACATCCTTTTTGTCATCCCTGATTTCCTGGTACATTGAGCAAAACATCTGAAAAACAAAATCAGAATGTTATGGTATACAAGAAGCAAATTTAATTCACAAATCCATTGCCAGTGTGTTATAAAGTATGGCCAAAGATGTCTACAGAGAACTGTATCCTGACCCATAAAGATCTGGGTTAGAAGTAATCTTCAGCAACCCATGCTTATCGTAAGAGGCGACTAACGGGATCGGGTGGTCAGACTCGCTGACTTGGTTGACATGCTGTTGATCACTGGCTTGTCTGGTCCAGATTCGATTATTTACAGACTGCCACCATATAGCTGGAATATTGTTGAGTGCGGTGTAAAGCTAAACTCACTCACTCACATTATATCCTACATATCTTACTTACTACCAACTTGTGTGATACAAAATTTATCTCCATGAACATCCCAGACTTGTAGATTCTTGTCCAGATTCTTGTCCCTAATTGAGGGTTATTAATGTTTTGTCCTCTGTGTTCCAGTTCGATCTTGTCCCCGAGTGCCGTCTCCAGCTTATGGTTCCATTGTCGGTGCCTGGGAGACGTTTCCTGTCGGATCTGTGGTCAGCTTCCAGTGTGACCGACCTGGGTACCAACTGTCAGGTACTGACTTTGTTGTCATGGTGCCTATACACAAGTCTGCCAAACTGACATGATGTGTTTCATCATTAGTGAATTCTCTTGTCTGGTAGTAGTAGTGTTAGAATTAGTAGTGGTAATAGTAGTAGTAGTCGTAGTCATTGTCTCGTAGTAGTTGTAGTAGAAGTACAGTCGTGACCCCAGTTTATCCGGACACTTGTGTTTTTCTTTAAATTGTCTGGATAAACGAATTTCCGGATATCTGAACCACGGAAGATATGTAAAAGACATACAAAGAAATTAACATAATAGACGTCAGACGTAATCTTTTTTGAAAAGACATCATCAAATAACAAAGCATACATAAATATCATCTTGTCAAATAAAGTAGTCAGGTCAATAACACGTGCGAACATACCTGTACATGCATCTGTCTGTCAAATGCCAGCAACCAATTAAGAAACACTTCTGATGTCATCCACGCGTTTGCATTGTTCCTGTACCTAACATAAACTTCTGGATTTAAAGTCACTACCAAAACAACGGGGACGTCTGGCCTTGCCATTCACAACTCAAAATGAACTCAGTGTCACCTTGCTAATTACAGGTAGTTAATCCTCTCACGCTTCAAAGACTGCAGACTTCTTTTATGTTAGGGCGTGCAAGTCCACTCGGTAAAATGTGTGTGTAAACTTAACGACAGGTTCTCAGCCATTCGGATATAAGAGAGAAAAAATGCATGTAATTTAGCGTGAAAATGACCGTCCGGTTACAGAAACCGGGTTTCCGGATAAGTGAGTAATTTTACAACATTGTGAATTCGTTTTGAGGAATTTTCATTCGGAAGGCGAGTTTTCCGGATATCTGAGGTTCGAATAAACGTGGCACGACTGTAGTCATAAGCATCATCATAGTAGAAGTAGTTGTAGTTGTCATAGTAGTAGTAGAAGTAGTAATAGTTGTTGTCATAGTCGTAGTAGCCTCGGAGTAATAGTAGTCTTTTAGTTGTAGTAGTAGTGATAATCATAGTCGTAGGCATAGTTGTCGTAGTAGTAGTGGAAGTAGCAGCAGCAGCAGTCGTAGTAGTAGTGGTAATAGTGAGGTGAGGTGAAATTGGGTTTTACGTCGTCCGTGAGAATATTTCGCGCATATGACGACGTGCATGCGTGTGTATGTGCGGCTGTTTGTACTAGCCCAGACTGAAGCTGGTTTTATAGTGCTAGCCCACTGAGATACCATGCCGCAGTGAAGCATGAATACCCCACTCAGACACATTATACTGACTCCGAGCCGACCAGATCTTGTTGTACCCATTAATGCCGAGCGCCAGGCAGGGACCAACAAGTACCATATTTTAACGTCTTTTGGTATGACGCGGTTGGGGATCGAATCCGCGACCTTCCGCTCTCCGGGCAGACGCTCTAACCACTACACCACGGAGGCGATCCAGTGGTAATAGTAGTGGTACTGGTGGTGGTAGTGGTAGTGATAATCAACCCGAAATTGCACGTCTAACACTTAAAATCTTGCTACTGCATGATGGTTATTATGAAATGTTCTATATCAGATCCATGGCCACTGGAATGCATCGCAGACCCCCATCTACGGATCTCCCTGGAGAAACCAGACTACCTGATCTCCCTGTCCGTTGACTATCGTGCTACTGCCTCCATCCCCAAGCACTGCGTGGAGTACTACGGCTGGGAGAGTGTGAGGAACCTACAGGCTTTCAAGGCCATCCTCCAGCTCCTCTGTACGGAGTTTGGGCAGCCAGTCATAAACATCTACCAGACCACCAATGGATCTGTCACTGGCAGTGTGGTGAGTTTGGACATGATGGTATCATAAACACTAACACCTTATCAGTGGAGTGTAGATGTTACAGCACACGGTAACGAATATTTTCCAGCTTTTAAAATCCTGTACATCCCTCTGTTTAATTATGAGTGATTGAGGTTATATACCAGTTATATCGCAGTATGTCAGTTCAAGATGAGTGAGTGAGTTTAGTTTTACGCCGCACTCAGCAAAATTCTAGCTATATGGAGGCGGTCTGTAAATAATCGAGTCTGGATCAAACAATCCAGTGATCAACAGCATGAGCATTGATATACGCAATTTGGATAAGATGACATCTGTGCACAAAGTCAGAGAGCCTGACCCCCGATCCCGTTAGTCGCCTCTTACGACAAGCATGGGTTCGTGAGGATCAATTCTAACCCGGATCTTCCCGGGTCACAGAGATTTACCACTTTTGTGCAACCTATGTGCATGGTACTGACAAACCTAGAAACATGATTCGTACAAACCGGATTTGAACCCACGATCACAGGTTTCTGGTGTGCCGAAAGGATGTCAATTGCCATCCTTTAGATGACAGGGCCAACTGTAGACTAACAACTAGTCTCTGAAATGAACATATTTTACGGTATAATTAGCACTAACTTGATGGATGGACGAGTGGAAGCCAGGGATTGACCCTTCACAATAAAGAAGTTGACATCCATAAAATTCTTGCCTTTATGTGTATCAGTTCTAAACACCCTTTAAAGACTCTAGACACTCAACAAGATACATAACTCGATTTATGAGACACTGTTTTTATGACTAAGGGATCTATTTATATAGAAACATAAGCCATTTGTAGCTGGCTGATGAAGTTCGAAGTTAGGTCAACATTTTGGCATAATGATTCCCAATTAGAATACATGTCGACTTGCCAGTCTCATCCCAAGAGGGGCAGTGGGGTAGCCTGGTAGTTAAAGCATCCGATCATCACGCTGAAGACCAATTTCTACCTGACCAACAAATTTTTTTTTTCTGGTTTCCAGGTAAACATACAAGGAAGTATAGGATTCCAGGTGCGAGATGGAGAGGCAATTGCTACTGCTTGTCAGTGTGGCAGTTCTGTCGTCAATGCTCTGGTTGGACTAGAGGACCCGACCATGCTGGATATCAGAGCTTCCACGGAACTAGGGTGCCCAGCCGTGTCCGCCATCAGTGGCAGCATCTCCTCCAACGCAAGTCAATGGCAGTGTCCACCGGGGGCTCATACTGGACAATGGCAACTCGGCCTGTGGAGAGAACACTCCAATGTGCCTCAAAAGTAAGATTGTGTTATTTACTAGAGCTGGGACGATACACTATGTCACGATATTTTACCTGCGATACGATACGTATCACGATACATACACCTTGAAAGAATGACACGGTATCAAGATTTAAAATGATTTATTTCAAGGTATTTGTGTTTAACAATAACACTATTGTAATAAACAAACAAGTAACTCCATCATACTTTCGTATTTTTCTCTAAAGAAGTACTGTAACATGTTTAAGATAATACTGTTTTGAAAAAAAGTTGTGTTATGTTTTGTATCGATACAAAACATACGATAGCTGTATCAAACTTAAATGTATCGCAATGCATCGGTGAATCGTCCCAGCCCTATTATATACTTATCTCAGAGGTGGTAAGGTAGGTGAGTGGTTGAGGTGTTGTGTGCATCATGTACAAGACCCGTGTTTGATTCATGGGTACAATGTGTGAAGCCCATTTTTGTGTATCCTGCCGTGATATTGCTCGAAGATTTCTAAAAGTGGCGTAACACTCAGTTACTTAACCCTTGTGGGGATTTGGGGGTTTAATAGGTTCAAAGCAAACTATGGTGGTTAATAATAATAAGGGGTTATAAAACAGATCGTCAGACCAGGCTGATTGTACCCTGATGGTATTGATCACAAAATCAATCACTGGATTGCAGTGTTGGGAATTGGTTAAAATCTCATAACTGATGATTGGTCCATTACAACCGATCAATCATCGTAAATAATTAGTTAGCGTCATTTATGAAATTTGTTAATGCCCACAAAATAAGGAAAAAACCATGTAGTTCTTAGGGGGGTTTATTGGCAAAATTTCACATCTTTAAAGGAGGACTAGTATGTTAGGAACATACATTTCTTGGAGTGTGTAAGATAAATTCAATCATGACTTGGAACGAGCTTGTACATGTAGTGCTTATGAAATGTAACAGACAAAACCAACCTTGTGTAAAATACTGTTAATGAAAACAAGTGTTCCAGAATTGTTTGTGTTCGATTATGAGAAAATATGATCGATTGCTTGGTCGTTTAGTCACTGCGACCAATCTTCGATTATTTCAATTAATCGGACCACTACTGGATTGTCTGGTTGTTTGCAGCCTGCTCTCATATAGCTGGAATATTGTTTAGTTTGATGTTACACAACAAACACACTTATTTATTTACTTTGTGAAAACAAGCCAAACAGACAGATTACTAGATTCTTCAACAAGAAACCATAATGGTTGCTAAGCTTTTCTTGATAATCCCAACTGGTTATTTGCTTGTATTTGAATGGTTTGAGATAATATGTCCACCAGTTCGAATGGTTATCACGTTTCATTTTTCAGTGTTATTAATGTGTTGTAATGTTGTACTCTGTCTGTTTCAATGTGAAAAATAATGTTTATTACCTCCTTATTTTGTAATTTACAGTTTTGGTATAAAATGTAAACCTTTCTTTTCATTCTTTGTTGTAAGTCTGATAGATGTGTTCCCAACCTTTGTTTCAGATTATACCATGTGAGTTATGTCAATGTCTTTTGTGTTCCATGTTTGATGCTTGAAATGTTTTGCTGCAGAATGTCTAGAAGAGCTGGAACCAACGCCTACTCCTACAACCTCTGTCACCATCATCCCAACATCGCCTGCTGTCACCTCTACTGATGCACCAGCAGCAACAACAGATACTGAACAAACTACAACACGGCCTCTTACACCAACAACACAGGATGTCCACAGTTCCACTCCAGGATCCCAGACAACACAAGGTGTTTCCACACAGTCAACCACAACTGAGAGACCTTCAACACAGTCACCAACATCACAAGGTCCAACAACACAAGGCCCATCTACACAAGGTCCAACAACACTAGGTCCAACAACACAAGGTCCTACAACTCAAGGTCCAACAACACACGGTCCAACAACTCAAGGTCCAACTACACAAGGCCCTACAACTCAAGGCCCAACAACCCAAGGGCCATCTACACAAGGCCCTACAACTCAAGGCCCAACAACCCAAGGGCCATCTACACAAGGCCCTACAACACAAGGCCCAACTACACAAGGCCCTACAACTCAAAGCCCAACCACTCAAGGCCCTACAACACAGGGCCCAACAACACAAGGCCTGACAACACAAGGCCCCACAACACAAGGCCCAACCACTCAAGGCCCCACTACACAGGGCCCCACAACTCAAGGCCCCACTACACAAGGCCCTACAACACAAGGTCCTACAACTCAAGGCCCCACAACTCAAGGTCCTACAACACAAGGACCAACTACACAAGGCCCTACAACTCAAGGCCCTACAACACAAGGTCCAACTACACAAGGCCCCACAACTCAAGGCCCCACTACACAAGGTCCTACAACTCAAGGCCCCACAACTCAAGGTCCTACAACACAAGGCCCAACTACACAAGGCCCTACAACTCAAGGCCCTACAACACAAGGTCCAACTACACAAGGCCCTACAACTCAAGGTCCAACTACACAGGGCCCCACAACTCAAGGTCCAACTACACAAGGCCCTACAACACAAGGTCCAACTACACAGGGCCCCACAACTCAAGGTCCAACTACACAAGGCCCTACAACACAAGGTCCAAGTACACAGGGCCCCACAACTCAAGGTCCAACTACACAAGGCCCTACAACACAAGGTCCATCAACTCAAGGCCCCACAACTCAAGGCCCTACAACACAACGTCCCACAACTCAAGGCCCATCAACTCAAGGTCCAACAACACAAGGCCCGCCAGTCACTACAAGTCAATCTTTACCAGAAGGTACGCTATCTATATTATAAGATTTATTCAAGTGTCTGTGATGTTTCAAATACATCACACACCATCACCTGGCTCCACATCATTGATGAGGCACCACTTGCTGATGATGCAGCTGCTGTTTATTCTATCACTGACAGTTTGACAAGAAATGTGTGTCCGGAACTGGATTCAAACCAAAGAAGCCCACCCATATACTAACGAATGTAGTTTCTGTGACATGCATCTCTCCCTCCCAACAGTACCCGTGAAGATCTGGGTTAGAATTGGTCTTCAGCAACCAATGCATGTCGTAAAAGGCGACTAACTGGATCATGTCAAATTATCCCAATTGCGTAGATCGATGCTCATGCTGTTGAGCACTGGATTGTCTGGTCCAGACTCAATTATTTGCAGACTGCCGCCATATAGCTGGAATATTGCTGAGTGCGGCGTAAAACTAACCTCACTCACTAACTTAATTCTGGTGTACCCCACTATGTAAAACTAAGCTTAACATTAACCAACCAACCAACCAGGTGTCCTCCAGTTTGAACTGCTTGGTTTCAGTGACAGCGCCAGTGTTTATCGTGGAGGTCTTGGACTCTATCGAGGGGATCTTCAGCAACTCCTGTATAAACGAGGTGCATATGGAAGTTAACAGCATGGTGAACCAACTGCCTACCCTCTTTAATGCCCCCCAACTTCAGCACTGTGCCGGAACCTCCGACATCTATGTCACCCTCTTGGACGGCCGGATCAACTTTAGTACCAACAGGGTAAGTTGCACTCGATACAGTGTTTGAAATAGCCACTGACCCGCTGGCCTGTGGCTAGTAAGAATCAAGTCGGGCTAGCAAATCTCCATAGTCACTTGCCCGACTGGCTAGTGAATTTCCATCATATTGTAAATATATCACTCTCTCCGACTTTTTAAGTTATAATACACTTTTAAATCATTCAAGATTATGGCCTGATGAAAATGTTCATCATATTATTAGCTTAATGATGAAACACGTGTCTTCATTCAGGGAATGGTTTTTCTGCTCAGTGTCAGACTTACTGTGAAACTCTGCAGAAAATGTCAGTAAAAAGTAGCCGTCTTCTCTTGTTCGTTCATGCTAAGCAATACAACATACTTTTCTTACCCCCTGAAAAACAGTTTCATGAAAGTGTAACCTGTAGATAGGCCGATCCCCTTCTTTTGGTCCTCAAACTTTGGCTTTTGACTTTTGTCCAATTTGCATGTCAAGTTTGAAATCCTACATGAATCCCTACTTGGGTCATTTTGTACTAGTAATTAGTGTCTTATTAAAAGAGAACAAAATATGGATGTTTTACTTGCTTAGGGGGCAAAGGAGGTATTACAGGGACACCTCCTCTATTTGGTGTATCCTCTTATAAGTGTGAGGTGTTATAACGATATTTTCAAGATTTCATGGTATTCCCTTATAAGGACGAGACACAGTATGGTAAAAGAAAATTTGAGAGCCGTATAAGCAGGCTGCGATTTCTCTATTTACATCCTGCACTGGTGCATGTTCAAAATGGCTGGTGCACGTTACCTTTAGTAACAGGTTGCACCTGGTTCAGGTAACAATAAATCCTTCAACATCTTATATCGGTCATCATGTGTTTTAATTGGGAAGTAATTGACTGGAAGTAGTATGTTTCTCTCCACGTGACCTGTTACAAGTGTAGCAGGGCGTGGAGTCATCCCACAGATGACATCCTTACCTTGTCAGCTTGCTGACGGAGTTAACCTCTTTGGTCATGTGCACAAGGCGTCCGACTTCTGATCAGAAGGTCCGTGGTTCGAATCCCAGCACGGGACTCGGAAATTTTATGGCCGCTACATTGGCGCCAGACGTGGGGCTGAGCATGTTCATATAAAATTTGAGCAAAATATGTCTCAGTACCCAACTATGCGGCTCGGGACGTGCCTTCTGTTGACGGGGGAGTATGTACCAGGGCGTGGAGTCATCCCACAGATGACATCCTTACCTTGTCAGCTTGCTGACGGGGTTAACCTCTTTGGTCATGTGGACAAGGCGTCCGACTTCTGATCAGAAGGTCCGTGGTTCGAATCCCAGCACGGGACTCGGAAATTTTATGGCTGCTACACAAGCATAAACATTTGTGTACTCATTAATCAGTTATGCAGCAGTGATCATATAATTGAGATTTATAAATAAAGGTAATGCAAAATTGAAACAGAATCATTCATCATTATCATCATGCGATCTGGTTCTGTTGAATCTATCTGATTCTGTTGAATGTATCTGATACTGTTGAATGTATCTGATACTGTTGAATGTATCTGATACTGAGTACTTGTTATTAAAATTGCTAAACAAGCATTATGTTACGTTTTAGAACCAGTGACGTTATTTTGTGATGCATCCAAACCTATTAGCGAGGTTGCACTTGGTTGGTGTACTGACCAAAAACAATTTCACCCTGATGAGACAGATCGACAGACAGTTATATTCAGAAAAAGGCCAAATGCGCAAAACATATTGTAACACATGACAGGAACTGGCTTGTCACTGAGTTTAACAAGTAACCATGAAAATATTTTCATGTTTTTCTTTTGTTGTCAGGCGAATGTTGCAGTTATCTATGGTCTCAAATACAACACATCCTCCAAGGAATCTGTTGAAGCTTGTGCTGCAGAATTTATAAATTTTACTCGTGTGGAATTCCCCAAACTCCTTCGCATGATCCAAGATAAAGTTGTCCCCAACTTCTGCAACAACGTCACCTACATCAGCCCTGGCTGCAACTTCACCCGAAAAGAATGGGGATGCGAGGATGGCTTCATCCTCGATTCTGCAGAATGGATTTGTTTCCGCGGAACCACAGCCATTGTTACGACCCCAGCTTCAACTGTTGCTCCACCTACTCCAGCACCTGTCCCTACTGTCCCGAGGATGATTCTGACCCTCAGGGGTAGTTTTGTGTCCAGTGCTCAAGTTCCAGAGTATTGTATCACACAGTACCATTCTGCCCTTATTACAGAACTGACATGGATGCAAGCTCATGTTCAGACGATACTGTTGGAATTCTGTAAGGACATCTTTGTCAGTGTTACGGAGAACTTGACTCTTTCTGCTGATGGAGATACTAAGGTGAGAGTTGTTTCCCTTGACTGGCTTGTCCATATTAGGGTTGTCTTTCCTTACTAACATCATCTCATTATTGTTGTCATACAGTTGTCTCCTTGACTCAGATTATCTCAATATTACAGTTGTCTCCCTTGACTCAGATTATCTCAATATTACAGTTGTCTTCCCTTGACTCAACTTAATTATTCATATAAGGGTTGTCTCCCTTGACTCAGATTATCTCAATATTACAGTTGTCTTCCCTGGTCTTAACTTAATTATTCATATAAGGGTTGTCTCCCTTGACTCAGATTATCTCAATATTACAGTTGTCTTCCCTTGATTCAACTTAATTATTCATATAAGGGTTGTCTCCCTTGACTCAGATTATTTCAATGTTAGGGTTGTGTTCACTTGACACAAGAGGGGAAGCTCACAGGTTTGATCCCCAGCTGCATCATACCAAAACACGTTAAAATATGGTACTTGTTGGTCCCTCCTTGGCGCTTGGCATTAAAGGGTACAACAAGGACTGGTCGGCTTGGAGTCAGCATAATGTGTCTGAGTGGGGTATTCATGCTTAACTGCGGCATGGTATTTCAGTGAGCTAGCACTATAAATCCAGCTTAAGTCTGGACTATTATAAGCAGGTACTTATAAACATGCATGCACATATGAGCTCGTCATATGAGCGAAATATTCTTAAGTGTACTACGACGTTAAACCCCATTTCACCTCACCTGACTCAACTTATCTCAATAGTAGAATAGTCTTCATTAGACTCTGCTCATCTCCATATTAGAGTTGTCTTCCCTTGACTCAGATTATCTCCATATTATGGTAGTCTTCCCTTGATAATTAATATTTCCATGCTTTAAGAATTTTTCTGTTGGTTAGTGAGGACCCATGTTATACATAAACCTTTCTGTTGTTAACAATATCAGTCAAATTTGTATTTTAAAATTATTACAAAATCATTCAAATCAGTGTACAATATATATAATATGAGGTAAATTTATATACTAATTACTTGATGTCCATTTACAGAGGATGAAGTAAAATTGTTAAAGGAAACGTGATTGCTGTAAACTAAAGATGTTTGTGAATTATGTTCCTAACAATTATGTTCGACATTACTCTCTTTAAAGATCAATGGAGTTGGCAGACTGCACTTGTATCCACTTTCGGAGAACATCGACCAATCAAGGATGCTGGTCTGTTACGGATATGCAGCAGGACAGCTGACGGCGCCTAAGCAACATCTGACAACCTTGACCTTGGCTGGCAGCAAGACCCACAACTGCAGTGATATTACACTGTCACCAGATAAACTTGAGACATCAAACAATGATGTGGAATACTACTGTCCTGATGGCTATGTTTATGATAAAGACAACTTTAAGTGTATCGAAGGTGTGTTTATTTACTGATGTTTGATTCATTTCGAGAACATTGGCTATTTTCAGATATTGGGGCAGTAGCCAAGTAATTAAAGCATTCGTTTGTCACGCCGAAGACCTGGGTTCGATTCACCACATGGGTACAATGTATGCAGCCCATTTCCCCCGCTGTGACGTCCCTGGAATATTGCTAAAAGCATCGTAAAACTCACTCATTCAGATATTGTATTAGAATCTTTTTAGGGATATGAAAGGGTACATGAAAGTACTACCCTCATGTAGGTAGAGACGCAGGACTGATTTATTTCTTGTTTATTTCATATATTTATCTTTATTTAATTTAATATTTCCCCCTGTATCATCGTCATTTTCTATGAGAACCTCTTAGCTCTTTCTTTTATTGTTAATCAATGTTGTCGCAGGAGGCAAGTAATGGGATTAGGTGGTCAGACTCGCTGACTTGGTTGACACATATCATATCCCAATTGTGTGGATCGATGCTCATGTTGATCACTGGATTATCTGGTCAAGACTCGATTATTTACATACCCCCATCATATAGCTGGAATACAGTGCAGTGTTAAACAATCAGTCATTTGATCAACCAGTCATTCGATCAATCAACTGATTGATAGATCAATTAGTGAATCAATCAACCAACCATTGCTGTTCTGATAATATGTGATAATGTGATAATACTGCATCTGATTGGTTGTCAGGGAGAGCAAAACAGCTATCTACCCAACAGTGTAACTGTCCCTTTGAGTATATGCAAGGTTCATTGTTGTTTCAATCATGCTGTGGACTATGATTTCAGAGAGCATCCCGACTTTCGTGACGACAGCAACACTGAGGATGCAAGTGTCCCAGAATGCCACCATGTGCACCAGCCAGCTTGCGGTCAACACTGGGTCAGCTATCAAGGCCTTAGTGTCCCAAGTGATGGGCAAGCTACAGAACAACACACTATGTGGCGAAACCTCACAAGTGCTTCTTCAGCTGAAACAGGGACAGATTGCACCGAGCACCAAGGAGGTTGTTTCTTTTTTGAGATTGTAACATATAATGGTCCCTTTGGCAATACCTACTGTATTTCATGTTCCATGGATTCTTATTGCCCCTATTTCGATACTGTTGGAGTATTGCTGAAAGTGGCTTGCTCGCTTGCTCACTCACTCACTCACTCACTCACTCACTCACTCACTCACTCACTCACTCACTCACTCACTCACTCACTCACTCACTCACTCACTCACTCACTCACTCACTCACTCGGGGCAGTGGGGTAGCCTAGTGGTTAAAGCGTTCGTCACCCCGAAGACCCGGGTTCGAATCCCCACATGGGGTGTCACCCGCCGTGATATTGCTGAAATATTGCTAAAAGCAGTGTAAAACCAAACTCACTCACTCACTCACTCACTCACTCACTCACTCACTCACTCACTCACTCACTCACTCACTCACTCACTCACTCACTCACTCACTCTCCCACTCACTCACTCACTCTCCCACTCACTCACTCACTCTCCCACTCATTCACTTACTCACTCACTCAGATAACATCTTTACCCTGTCATCCTTGCTGAAAGGGACCCATGAAGATCCAGGTTAGAATTGATCTTCAGCAACCCATGCATGTTGTAAGAGGTGACTAACGGGAACATATGGTCAGGTTCACTGACTTGGTTGACAATTGTCATCGTATCTCAATTGCGTAGATCTATGCTCATGCTATTGATGACTGGATTGTCTGGTTCAGACTCGATTATTTACAGACCGCCGCCATATAGCTGGAATATTGCTGAGGGAGGTGCTAAACAACCAACCAATGCTGAAGGGTTGAACCACTTTGGTCATTTTGACATATTTAACCTTAGATTAGAAGGTCAAGGGCAGGAATCCCATCATGGCTTCAGAAATATTATGGCTGCTTCACAAGTTATACTTTCACAACATTTATGAACTCCTGACATCTTTTCAGGTGATGATATCGATTCCATTTGGGTTGCTGAGTATGTCAGGAGTGAAGAGTGATGTCCAGAAATGTGCAGCACATCTGAAGACCTACTTGCATAATACTCTGGAGACGACCCTGACCTCCTTGCCAACACAAGTGACCAGTTATTGTGGACGCACCTCCATCATCAAAACAGCTTCAGGGTAACAAGTTCAGAATGGACCTGCTTTGGATCACTCAGCTACCAACCATCTTCTGGGACGTGTGTGGATGAGCCCAGCACGAACAAAGGCAAAGGTATGTCAGTAATACCAGAGACGTTCTCTGTTAATACGTAGAGGGTTATGTCCGAGTAACTGTCCATTCCTTAAAAATAATGGAGAGTTACGAGGATATTACCCTACTTAAATTACATTCAAAGTATTGGGATTATTTCTGTTATCAAAAATAAATGTCAAAATGACAAAATGAAGTCTTTAATTTGAAACTGGTACACATCGCACCATTCCTGAAAAGTAATGGAGCGAGCAGACAATGGAATGACGTCACAAATGTAATATAAATAGAGATTATTACACAAGCAAGTGTCGTACGACTTATATGAAACAAGTGTGACATTTTGTATTGCCCGAGCGGGAGCAATACATAATTTTGCACGAGTTTCGTATAAGTAATATGACACACTTGCGAGTGTAATCATTTCATTTTTATCCAGTTATGTATGTGAAGATCAATCAGAAAATATTAAGTTTACGGTAATGAAAATCCCACAAGCACAAAAACTGGGTCATGGCGCAAAAATACTTGACAGAGTCAGTGAGTAGGTTTTACTTGTCAAAATAGTGCACACATACTACTCCAACTTCTAACTATAGAATATAAGAAAGCTATAATGTGAATATTGTATCTGAAAATGAACAGCATCAGTATATATTTACAAAATAATTAATGTATTGACATTGTTATCATTACTGACCTAACAAAGTATTTGGCATTGAAGATCGTACAAGATATCAGGTAAGTGATGCGTCATATTTTGACCAATCAGCTGCGGCTAAAGTCATATGTGCACATGTGCTCAAACTGAAAATATTAAATCTCCAATTTTCAACCATATGGATAATAAATAATTATACCTGATCACAGAACAAGCCTCAAGGTTGTCCATGTTTCAAAGATTACAGACCCTGGTTTATTTTACCGATGTGTCTGAATGAGTGAGTGAGTGAGTTAAGTTTTACATCACTTTTAGCAATATTCCAGCAATATCATGGCAGGGGACACCAGAAATGGGCTCCACATATTGTACCCATGTAGGGAATCAAACCTGTGTCTTTGGCATGACGAGCGAAAGTTTTAACCACTAGGCTACTCCACTGCCCTGTTATCAAATGACATGGTTGTTATTTTTATTTACCCTGTGACATGTAATTTCCACAACACAAGGTTTCCACATGTAATTCCTACTATGTGAAAGTCAGATGACATCAAACAACCCTCTTGGTAATGCATCAGTTGTGAGTTATGGAACTGGTTTCGTTACTTTTCAGGAACTTCATATTGAGGGTTCATGTATGTTGTTCCAGATAGACCTCCCCGCAGGAAACGCAGCTCAGTCCGCAGTAACTTGAAGATCCACACCTTCAACCAAGACAACACCCCGCGATGGAACGCCTCTGTGCCCCTGTGTCAGGGTGAGTACAGGGGAGAATTGTGGGAGAATATATATGACAGAACGCTGGAATAATTGGTTATCTGAGAATAGCTTTTTTTCCTGAAGAAAAACATCCAAAAAAACATATTTAATCATCCTGGGCTCCATTTCACAAAGCAATCAAAGTGCTAAGGTGATCGTAACTCCCATACTTTAACACAGACTTGCAACAGTTGTAGCACTAAGGTGATCGTAACTCCCATACTTTAACACAGACTTGCAACAGTCGTAGCACTAAGGTGATCGTAACTCCCATACTTTAACACAGACTTGCAACAGTCGTAGCGCTATGATCGCTTTGTGAAACGGGCCCCTGGAGGTTCCATGTGCACCACGTGCTCAACATTTGCTGACATCAACACCGATAGATGTGTCCCACCATTGCTGATATTAATATTAGCAGCTGTACCCCACCATTGCTAATATCAGAATCGATAAAGGTGTCCTACCATTGCTGATATCAACAGCGATAAATGTGCTCCTGTATTGCTGATGTCAACACTGATAGCTGAGCCCTGTCCATTGCTAATACCAATGCTAATAACTGGTCCTACGCCAAATACTGTGTCAGCACAAAGACCAACATCATACCCTAATTTAATAGTATGAATTTTTTTTTTAGAATTGTCAAACTAATTTCTAAATAGAAGCCTCAAGTACAAAAATCCAATATATACCATCATGCCCATTCTGTAATATTACCTGTTTATGTGGGTGTGTTTGCTCTTCACACAGACACACAGGCCCCGGTGTCCACTGACTGCCCCTCAGGAAATATGGAGGTGGAGCTGGGTCCCAACGGACCAGTCCCTGCCAACATCACGCTGCCAACATTCTCTGACAACTCGGGGGCCACGCCCACTGTCATCTACACTCCATCTGACTTCCGACTACCCTACCTCTTCACTAAGGTGAGAATATCACCTTATCAGGTGTTGTCCTGTGTGTAGTGTGACTGTTATATAGTGTTGCCTTGTCTCCTGTGTGACTGTACACTTGCCCTATATCTAGTTCAGCTCTGTTATAGGGAACTGTGTGTGTGTTGTGACTGTACACTTGCCCTATATCTAGTTCACCTCTGTTATAGGGCACTGTGTGTGTTGTGACTGTACACTTGCCCTATATCTAGTTCACCTCTGTTATAGGGCACTGTGTGTGTGTTGTGACTGTACACTTGCCTTATATCTAGTTCACCTCTGTTATAGGGCACTGTGTGTGTTGTGACTGTACACTTGCCCTATATCTAGTTCACCTCTGTTATAGGGCTCTGTGTGTGTTGTGACTGTACACTTGCCCTATATCTAGTTTACCTCTGTTATAAGGCATTGTGTGTGTTGTGACTGTACACTTGTCCTATATCTAGTTCACCTCTGTTATAGGGCACTGTGTGTGTTGTGACTGTACACTTGCCTTATATCTAGTTTACCTCTGTTATAAGGCATTGTGTGTGTTGTGACTGTACACTTGTCCTATATCTAGTTCACCTCTGTTATAGGGCACTGTGTGTACAGACTGTACACTTGCCCCTATATCTAGTTCACCTCTGTTATAAGGCACTGTGTGTGTGTGTTGTGACTGTACACTTGCCCTATATCTAGTTCACCTCTGTTATAGGGCACTGTGTGTGTTGTGACTGTACACTTGCCCTATATCTAGTTCACCTCTGTTATAGGGCACTGTGTGTGTTGTGACTGTACACTTGCCTTATATCTAGTTTACCTCTGTTATAGGGCACTGTGTGTGTTGTGACTGTACACTTGCCCTATATCTAGTTCACCTCTGTTATAGGGCACTGTGTGTGTTGTGACTGTACACTTGCCTTATATCTAGTTTACCTCTGTTATAAGGCATTGTGTGTGTTGTGACTGTACACTTGCCCTATATGTAGTTCACCTCTGTTATAAGGCACTGTGTGTGTTGTGACTGTACTGCAGTGTTGCCCTATCTTTAGCCACGTGTTGAATGTGCTGTGTGAATGTAGTAATGTGTTGTCCGAACTCTGTTACAGCTGTGCTACATTCAGATGTTTGTACTTTGTGCTCTGTTACGGAGCTACATGATGGCCCAACTTTGTTCCAGAACATGACAGTTACCGTTGCTGCCACTGACTCCATGGGAAATGTAGCCACCTGCCCCCTCCATGTGTTCCTCGTGGGTGAGTGGTAGAGTTACTCATGCATTGTTACACTGTAACATTCGGTATTCATGCATTGTTTTGACCCTGTACACTAAATGTATTCTGGGGCATTGATGAACCAGAATTACTGCACGATGAGTCCGTCCCCTGTCATGTTACACTACCAGGGTTCTGCTGTAGGTCTCAAGGGTGTTGGGACTTTTTACCTGGAATCCTGAAAAAAGCTATATGAATACATGTATAAAACAGTCTGATCATTTCTGACTTAAGTTGAATGAACCGTTATCTTTATTCACATAAATGATCTGATCTGAAAGAAATGTATGCATAGTCAGTGATAAATAACATTAAGTTTTTGTAATGTAACAATGGAGTTCTGTATTGTTGTCATTAAACAATGTATCATGTTATTAATCATGGGTCAGGGAAGTACTGTGGGTATCTGAGTCCCACTCAGGACCCATCCTCCCCTGTACCCACCTTCCCCAATAAAACAGCCCTAATACGGTCAGTTCCCAGGGTCTAGATTTTCGAAGCTCTCTTAGCGCTAAGATGGACGTAAGTGCCATTCATTAACATTAACTTACAACGATCTTAGCGTTAAGGGTGCTTCGAAAATCTAGACCCTGGAATATTAATGAGTGCAGCGTTAAACAACAAAATCATCAACAATTCGATACAGATTCTTGTACTGTTGTCAAGCAACGTTACTTGACAAGGGTACAAGAAACTGCATCGAAACGTAACTTGCAAGAAATAAAGAAGTTGTTATCCATAAAGTTTGTCTATATTGTACTTCCAAACACCTAGACTGTCACTCAAAGAGGAAACAAAACCATCCATTCTGATCTGTATCTAACCTCCATGTTGCAGACGTGACTCCACCCACTGTCGTCTGCCCCAGCTCTATTGTGGTAGAACTGTATGACTCTGACACACAGGATGTTCAACTGAGTTTCCAGTCCCAGCCAATCAACGCCAGTGACTACAGCGGAATTGAGAGAATCGAATACTCACCACCAGAGGGCACTGTCATTCGTATGCTCAGGCCTATTGAATTAACTGCCACGGTGTACGATAATGCTGGCAATAAAGCTACCTGCTCTTTCGTATATGAAGCTCAACGTAAGTTGACCACAAAAATATGGAAATATTTGCCAGATTAAAATATTTCATGCATGTAACATAAATATGAAAATATAACATGTGTTAATAATAATAATAATAGGCCATTTATATAGCGCCTTTCCACGTCACAGGGATATGCTCAAAGCACTTCCTGAACTCAAGTTAAAACTATATACAGCTGGCAGGTACGGATGATTGGAAGTCACTTGTAGAGGAGAAATAGATGAGTCTTTAGTTGTGTTTTGAATGTACTTAACATGGCCACTATATCAGAAAATCACATAGTCTCTGGAACAAAAGTCCATGAAAAACATGATTTCTTTGAAGCAAGGTGTACTTCAAAGACTGTACACCAGGAAACCCTTTTGACTTGTCTTTTTCGAAAATCCTCCTGATCATAATTCGATAACATTTTCAAGTGATGTATGTATATCAAAAAGCAAGAGTTTTGCAAAGATTTTATTGTTTTGTGTTGTATTGTCATTTATATGTTAGTTAATGAATAGTATATTTTTCACTGTTCAGTTCAGTCATAAGAAACTCCAGTATACTGAACAAATAATCAGGCTTGTGATTTATTCACTGTAACATAGTTATTAACATGAATTGAAAGAAATATCTAAATTAATGAAGACCTCGTGAAAACTATCATTGTTTGCTATCAAATCGATTTTATTGACTCTGAACTGAATTCTGAGGGTCACTCATAAAACTTGCGTCAAGCTTGACTCGTATGATAATATTTTGAGAGTCTTTTACAAAATTGTTGCGTCAAATACGCAGGAATCACGCGTCATGGAAAACCCTGTCAGCTTTAACTGAAACATATATCTCATAAACCTCAGTCCTACTCTGATGTAATGCCTATCAATATCAAGGCTCCTAGGTAAATATTGGATGAGCAAATTAGCTTTCTAATATGGTTCAAAAACGTTTTGATCTCACATTAAATAAACAAAAAATAATCAAAGGAAATTATTACGCTAAACAAGTCAAAACATTGATTACACAACTGTCTCATTTCCTTTGAGACCAACTCATTCAACTGGATATATAGATATTAATCAGTATTATTTGATACATCTAATCACTTGTATATTGCAACACTACGCTCCTACTAATCCTTGCAAACACGTGGGTGCAGCGTGCTCTGTTAGCGGTCTTTCACGACTTTGATATTATATCAATCACATTGTGCGTTTCAAAAAATATGTTTAATAAGCGCAAAGAACACATAACAGGTGTAACCAATGAGCCAGATGAATTGTGAATCATTGTAAGACCTCTTCTAACAGGGGCAGTCTGCGACGTCTTCGTTAACGACATGCTGCTTAAAACTTCGACATAAAATATAGAATTACGATTTTATTAAACTTTAAGATTAAGATTAATTTGTAAGTACCATTTGGTTATTAAGCAAGGAATTCGAATTCAGTGTAACCATAGTTGTTTGTAGTGTCTCATTTCACTTTCACACGAAAAAATTCAGATCGCTGAAAAGTAGGTCATTGTCTGAATTTTAATGACTCCCAAATATTGAAAATGACTCCCAAAAATAAATACTGTGGGTCACCATGACTCTCTTTTTTCAAAGTCTGTGTAAAACCCTGAGCTGATTGGTTTGTTGTTCAGTCAGTACAATGGGGCTATGGGTTATCCCTATCTTGTCCTGAATATATTAGTGTGATATCCTTTATATCCCCACAGCGAGGGAGTGCCCTGAGTGGTCCCTCCCGACCCCCGAGGGTGGGGACAAGGCGTGTACAGGCTCTGTGGAGGGCAACAAGACGGCATTCAGCTGTCACCTGCAATGTCCGTCGGGGATGGACTTCGTGTACGAGCCTCCACTGCAGTATATTTGTGAGCTGGGCGGGACCTGGTTTCCTCATAACATTGTTCCAGACTGTACAGGTGGGTTAAAAATCGTTGTTTCTTTCTGCAGTATGGTTTATGATCCAGTCTTTTGTCTATTCAACTCTCACCCATGAAGATCCGGGTAGAATAGGTCTTCAGCAACCCATGCTTGCCACAAAAGGCTTACTATGCTTGTCGTAAGAGGCGACTAACGTGATCGGGTGGTCAGGCTCGCTGACTTGGTTGACACATGTCATAGGTTCCCAATTGCGCAGATCGATGCACATGCTGTTGATCACTGGATTGTCTGGTCCAGACTCGATTATTTACAGACCGCCGCCATATAGCTGGAATATTGCTGAGTGCGGCGTAAAACTCAACTCACTCACTCACTATTCAACTCTTCATAGTTTCTGCAGTCCCAGTGAAGATATGGATTAAAACTGACCTTTGGCAACCAATGCCCATCTGTGGCTTAGTTTATGCATGACATGGTATCCCAGCTGCATAGCTAATGCTCCTAATATCAATCACTGGATTGTCTGATCCAGACAGTTATTTTTAGATCGTCTTCATATAGTAATAACATTGCTGAATCTCACATTGAACAGCAAACAAGCAAAACACTTTCAATGTAATTATTTGTTTGTGGCAAGTATTATAATTAAGGGTGTAGATATTTGAATGAGGGAGAACTGACTACTGTAGGTATAACATAATATTGCAGTACCCAAAAGAGAGTACCTTCACCGAAACGTCACACTCATTGCAAAAAAGAAGTTAACTGTCCACAGAACTTGGTTTTCCTTCATCTTTACAACTTCTAAAATGCCTCTCAAAGAACCCAAAACAGAGGTGTGATTTCAGTCATAAAGATCCATCAATATTCTGGCCATATTGTGGATGACAAAGAAGAGTTTGGTTGAGTTTCTTTAGGTTTATAATACCTACCACTACTAACTGGTACTTTCTTTCTCCAACAGACAAGGTCGCACCTGATTATGACCTTGACCTTGACTTTGAGTTTGAGTATGATGGCAACAACAGCGAGAGTTGCGTGTTCCATCTCAAAGACAAGATCCTGGAGGTCCTGGGTCCAGTAATCACAGAACCATGTGCTGCCGCGAACGACTTCCTCAACATCACCGCCACCTACGCCATGTCGATAGAAACCACCAAGGTCAGTGTGATGGCAGCAGGCTCACTGAACTGGCTCAATGTTTCAGCTCAGTGGCAGCTCCAGAGGTCGAGTCAACATAGGTTCTGTGAATAGGTTCTACAGAGGTTTTTTCAGTTTGTTCTGGGGATGTCACGGTCTTAAAGGGGCACTGATCCAGAGTGATTAATGTTTCTCGCCAACAGTCTAATTACGAAGCCAAGCCAGTACCTGCTCTCTCGACCGTGACGGACAGGGGGACTGGGCTACTCAAGGGAGAAAAACAACAACAAAAGCAACAACCAGTCCACACGGAAATTGCTCTGGATCAGTGCCCCTTTAATCTGTTCCCACTACCACTAAACAAAGATCTAAGATAGATGCTTGATGGGCATTTAGAAGTTGGGAGGTAACACAACAACATATGGTATGGATTTACAGCTTCTTTCATATCTTGAAAATCAATACACAATTAGAACATTAACAATACATAAATAGGTTCATAAGTATTAACAATGTTTATGGAGCTTGGAGATTGCCTTCTGATTGTTGGTAATATCAATCCAAGTCCAGGTATGACTATTTAAGGGCTGTCATGCAGTTGGAATATGAGTGTGGTGAAATTGGGTCCTATCGTCTTTGAATAAGTTAATTGAATATATCTGGTCTATCATGTTTCAAAGTCCTTTTGGGATGGTGGAGTAACCTTGTGGTTAAAGCATTCACTCATCATGCTGAATACACAAGTTCAATTCCCCATGCACATGGGTACAATGTGTGAAGCCAATTTCTGGTGTCCCCTACCATGATATTGCTAAAAGCGGCATCAAACAATACTCACACCCTCACTCACTCAAAGTCCTTTTTACAAGATATCAGTGTTTGGCCATTGAGTTCATATAGAAATCTTGAAGAGATTTATTTTCCATCACTGCAAGCAAGATGAAATCTGTACCTTTTGTGAAGTTAATATGTTCTGATTATGACATGTTGGTGTGTTTCACTGTAGGTCACTGTAATAGTCAAGGTCTACATACAAAAGGTCCAGCCCACAGTTCCTCCATACTATCTGGCCTCAGCCTGTGGAAAACTCATCTTGGAGCAAGCAAATACCACTAACCTTGACATTCATATAGAGGGCTGTGGCAACGCCACCTACAGGCCACCGTGTACAGGAGGGGGAGATAATCAGTGTCCACCTGGACACATCCCAAGGAATGACTATTGCTGTAAGTAATTTAAATTTCTCTATTTGCTGTGTAATTGGTATTCACAAGTGATGTTAGTGCTAAAACATGTAATATCTGTACTTACATGTGTAAACACTGATAATAAATAGTTGTGGCACTATGGCCCTGGTAGTTTGATCTGCACAAAATATTGATGAAATGGTTGCTCTTCATTAAAAATGCCCTGCTATAATGAAATATTGTTGAAAGCAGCATAAAAGTTCTGTTAGACTAATTCTTAGACTCTTAATATATATATTTTTGATTGTAACAAATAAACCCATTTATTTTGAAAGGACAACCTGGAGAAATCTAGACTTGCTTCATTTAGGGCTTTAGCATTGCAGGGAGAGATAGGCTGTAGGGGAAAATAATATGATTCAGGGACAGGGAAACTGACTAAAGTTCTGTATATGACTTTGTAAATTTTATGTGAAACATGAATTCTGCTTGTATTTTATAACTGTTAATCAACATCAGGTGGTCAATTGGTTCAAACATCACTAAGTAGGTCCATACTGACCTGGGCCTCCTTTCACAAAGCACTAAGGTGATCGTAAGTCACTTAGGTAACCTTAGTGCAGTGTTGAAGAATGGGAGTTAAGGTTAACCTTAGTAAAGGTTGCTTCGTGAAGGAGCCTCAGGTATATATGTTTTGCTCGTATCTTGCAGTGGAATGTACGAGAGGCACGTTTGCAAACCTGACCTCTGGTCAGTGCCAGAGCTGCCCGAAGGGCTCCTACCAAGATGAGGCCGGGCAGGCATCCTGTAAGCCATGTGGTACAGGGACGTCGACGGAGCAGGAACAGTCGGTCGAGGAGTCTCAGTGTATAGGTGAGCACCAAGGCAGAATGTTACCACCATCATGTGCTGTAGGTCCATATGGTTAGGTAAATGATAGTTCTTCAGTATTCATGGGGGTAAAATTCATGGCTGCAAACTTTAAATTTATATAAAATTCAAAATTTAAAAAGTAAAATTTAAAATGAGGACCATTTGTACCAAAATTTGTCCTAGGAAGTCCATGTAAAGTTAAGTCAAGTAAGCTTGTGTCAGGACTAGATGTCTTCAATCTAATTTTTCTACAATAAACATAAATACAATTTATATGCTGAAGAACATTTCGGGTATGTTCTGATTTTGGATCAATCTACAACCTTTGACCATTTTTAATTCTTGTGCATCTCTGAATCTACATACTGTTGAGCAGAATCTTGTTTACATCTTTTTATGATGCAAATAAAGACAATGTCCTGGTAAATAAACCGATGTGAAACCCCAGATACCCCCCTGATCTATGTATGGCTGTTGCAGCACAATGTCCCCCTGGGGAGTCCTCACAGTCTGGCTTGGTGCCGTGCAGCCAGTGTGAGAAAGGATGGTACCAGCCTGACACTGGTGCCACTGAGTGTGTAAAATGTCCAGGTGACCAGTCAACACAGGAACCAGGCGCTGACGCAGTTGATAAATGTTTCGGTGAGAATTCTTTTTACATCTTGCTGTATTGGTTCTGTGAAGGTTTGATGATGTCTTGAAACCAGTCCAATTTCAAAGTACAGTGGAATCTGTCAAATCCGAACTCTTTGTAAGCCGGTTTTCTCCATAATCCGGACTACTCTTTGAGTCCCGCAAAATTGTTCTTAATTTATCATTAAAGCTTGCTTTATTATCCGGACTCTCTCAATTACGGATAATGGACTAATATAACAGTCCCGAAAATCAACTCTCAATGAGAACAATGCTTTGTAATCTGGACGTAGCTGACTAAAATAACACTCTGTTGAATAAACATCTCCGTTACTTCTGTTCTCAATGGTTAATTATTTCTATGAACACAAGCCTACCAAGCTTGATTGGTGATTATGAGATGGAGAATGTGTTTAACTGTGACAAAACTGGACTTTTTAAGCGATTTACCCTACAAGACAGAGCCCATGCTGCAAAGGGTGGACAAGTTTCAAAAGAGAGACTTGCGGTGCTTTTGTGTGGTAACGGACAAAAGTTGACTAAACCGCACTGCTTTATAATCCGGACAAATGAGTCTGTCCCAGGCCAGTCCATAATAGACAAATTCCACTATAGTATAATCTATTTATAGCCAATAGCCCTGATGGTATACCCTTTTTGTTACACATTATTTGTTTTCAAGTGTTATCAAATAGCATTTAGATGCTAAATGTAATCTAGTCAAGCAATTATACAATACAGTAAGTGATCACTTAGGTATATATGTGTCAATAAGATCTATATAAAAAATTGAACAAATAACTTCTATATGACCGTAAATAATTGTGACATGTATATATTTCCCATAATGAAGCATGGTGGTTGCACGATGCCCTGTGCATAACTTATAAGTGACAAATGTGCAAAGTTAATCAATGTGAAGCAACGGAAGCTGCTTGAATCCTAAGAGTCTAGGACTTTAGATCTTTGCCACACTTAGGCACATGTATCACATATAGTGTGGAGTGAGTGAGTGAGTGAGAGTGAGCCAGTGAGTGAAGTTTTACACAGCTTTTAGCAATATTCCAGCAATATCATGGCAGGGGACACCAGAAATGGGCTTCACACATTGTACCCATACCCATATAGTGTGTCAATAGTAACCTTGTTTGAAACAGGCCCTGTACACCCAGCAGTGAATGGGTACCCGATAGGATGAGATGGTAATGTGATTGTAAATCTCACAGATTGCTTGGGTTGTATACTTCCCAAGGAGTTGAGAAATATAATTGGATGCACACTGATACACAGATGGTGTTAATGGTTTTGCACTTTGAGCATGCAACAACATATGGCCTAAAGTGCATTATTAATATGCCCTCATCAGTATTATTATTTTTCACCCTGTGACTACTCCACCTCCAGGTGAGTGCCGACCGGGCTACGTGAGCTGCTGTGGGGTGGAGCCATGTTACCCCTGCCCCAAGAACAGCTACAACGACAAGTACCGCAGCACCTATTGCATACAGTGCCCTAGGAACACCGTCACCATTGGCGTCGCTAGCAACAGCAGCACACAGTGCATCAGTAAGATCATCATCCCTTTTCAGGAAAACTCTGAGCAATGGAGTCCTAAGCTATAACTCTGTCCAAATTAATTGGTTTCACATACAAATCCCTTTGCTTAATGATGAATTGTATGGGGGTGAAATTTGACAGAAATATGGGAATATCTACAGATGGTATTTGATAACATATATTTTAAATTGTTTTTCAGTTGTGGATCAGTGTGAAGGTCACAGCTGCATAAATGGTGCCACCTGTTTGAACAATGATACCTTCTACACCTGTGATTGTTTACCTGGATTCACAGGTACGTGGTAGCACATTGGACACATTTATTACAATCCATTTCTGATGACAAATATGCCAATTTCGTCATGACATTAATATGTTTAATTTCATAAACTTGTCAATAATATGTTGTAATTCTTTAATCAGCTTTTGGGATTGTTCAGTGATGAAATACTTTTACCTTGGTTTAATCTTAAGTTTGCAGAATTTAATTGTTTTCAAACCATGCCAGGTTGATGCCTTTGACATAAAGTCCTGTAAAGAGCGTGGGGTGATTTCAAACAGTCATGGCTACGTTATACCTGGGACGAAAAAATATACATTTTCCACATATATTTCTGATTAATAAGTACATATTACTGTAAAGAAAATATGGTAAATTTGTTGAACTGGACCCAGGGTGTAATTGTATCAAATTTGCATAATAAATTTGAAAATCATTACCAGGGTTTAATGAGTTTATTAATCCAGATGACACCATATCTTGACATGAATCTTAATGGGTATATTTCTGTGAACATATTTTATGTTGATGTAGGCTCCTTCTGTGAGATTGACATAGATGACTGTGCATCTAAGCCGTGTGTTAACGGTGGTACCTGTGAGGATTCTGTCAACAACTTCACCTGCTCTTGTCCACCAGGTACGTGTCAGGTAGTCTGTCTGTTATCTGTTGTTGTTTACTGACACTCTCAGTAATATACTATTCACAATTTGCTAGGGATCAAATCATTTATTCAACAGAAAACTATGATGTGGGTTCAAATTTGGTTTAAATATCTAAGCCTATTGTAAGCATGGATCCAAATTTTCAGTATGTCATTTCATCTTGTGGATACCATACCTGCTATTGACAGGAGTTGTGTACTTATCAATGACCCATGCCATGATTTGCAAAATGGTTGATTGGTGCCATGAAAACCATTTTTATGGTTATTCGTGTATCAAGTGTGTACGGTTAGTATAAAGTGGCTGTTTGTCTAAAGATGTGTTACCAAATCATCATTTATCCAGTTTTAAATGGATACAATTTCAAATTATAAATCTATGTTTAAGTAAATTTGCTAATTTTTGTGATCCTTAGCAAAGTGTGAGCAGTAAATTCCAGCTGTATGAAAGCAGTGTGTAAATGATCGAGTTTGGATCAGACAATCCAGTGATTGATATCATGAACATCAATCTACATAATTGGAATATGATGACATGCATCACCAAAGTCACCGAGTCCTGTCTATCAGACCCTGTTAATCACCAAATAGGTGAGGTGAGGTGAAATTGGGTTTAAAGTCGTGCTTGAGAATATTTCGCTCATATGCCGACGCGCATGCGTGTGTATGTGTATGTGCGGCTGCTTGTACTAGCCCAGACTTAAGCTGGTTTTATAGTGCTAGCCCACTGAGATACCATGCCGCAGTGAAGCATGAATACCCCACTCAGACACATTATACCGACTCGAGCCGACCAGTCCTTGTACCCATTAGTGCTGAGCGCCAGACAGGGACCAACAAGTACCATATTTTAACTTCTTTTGGTATGACGCGAGTCGGGGATCGAACCTTTCGATCTTCCGCTCTCTGGGCGGACGCTCTAACCACTTCACCACGGAGGCGGTCAATCACCAAATACAACAAGCTAGTTGATGAGGATAACGTTTGATAAATGTTGCCCCTTATGTTACGATCCAACTGTGTCATAATTGATTGAACAGATGAAATTCTTGCCTGTTTGTTCCATAAAAACATTTTCCTTATAATAATCAAAATGATTGTAGCATAAATGTAGTCTGACAAGTTGAATCATGAATATTATGATTTTGATGAATAAGAAATAATTAGTTACTAATTTCTGTTCTTTTGTCATTCACATTTTGCTGCATGTTTTTTGTAAAAAATGTAAATGTTTCGATATTTTATCAATATTTTATCATATGTTAATCAGTAGTTTTAAGGAAAGTTTTATACCTTGTTTGAAAAAGACTCATGGGCTCACATGTCATGTGACAGGATATCATGGAAGCCACTGTGAGATGGTGACGGATGAATGTCAGCCCGACCCATGCATCAATGGCATCTGTGTGGATGAACACCTTACATTCCGCTGCGAATGTTATGAGGGCTTCCAGGGGCACCTGTAAGTCATACAACTTCTGTTGTTTTTCAGAACATAGTCTCAATTAAAGGGCATATACCAAAATTCTCAACCCAAAAAATCAATTTTGAGATTTGTTTTTTAAAATGGTGGAAAATTCGGTGATATTTATGTAATTTTCACAAGTGAAGAGGGCAGGGTGCACCCCTCAATTTTAATAAATAATGATAATATAATTTGTATAGTGCCCTATGTGATTTAGATACTAAAACACTCTAAGGTGCTAAACTGAACTTCTCTGGTTTTGTTGTCCTCTCTGAAAATGAATGTGGTTCTGACGAGGTTTATATTCATACTTTAATTGGAGGGTTTTTTTCTTTACTGATGAAAAAGATTAACAAGGTTGATATGTGTGTCTCCCAGGTGTGATGTGAACACTGATGACTGTGACGGCGCTCCGTGCCTCAACAATGGTGTGTGCTACGACATGATCGCTGACTACTTCTGCGACTGCAAGGTAAGTGGCTGATGTTTTACATATGTTGCCTGACAAGTCTCTTGCTTTTACAGGTTCTATCGTACTAGAGGGTACTAGGTACAGCTGTCCATAATATCAGCACTGGAGTGAGTGAGTGAGTTTAGTTTTATGCCACACTGAGCAATGTTCCAGCTAAATGGTTGAAGTCTGTAAATTGGCAAATCTGGACCAGACAATCCAGTGATCAACAGGATGAGCATTGATCTACACAACTTGAATGCAATGACATATGTCAAGCAAGTCGGCAAGCATGACCACCCAATCCTGTTAGTCGCCTCTTATGACAAGCATGGGTTGCTGACGATCAATTCTAACCCGGATCTTCATGGGTCTATCAACAGTAGTACTGTTGCCCATTATTAGATACAGATACATTATCCTCACCTGGTAAAATTAGGGGTGAATGTGAAGTTTCTCTCGGAATTCAACTTTGACTTGGACTAAAACTTGCAGGGAACTTGGTGTAGACATGTAGATCTGGGCTAATTAAGTAGTCTGGTGCCTCGCAAATACAGCTGATAAGAGTGGTGATTCTGATGATAATGATATTGATGAAGAGAAAGAATAATGAAAATGACTGAGATTGTAAGGTTGATGGTGACCCCGATGATTGCATTGATAGTGATGAATATGATAAAGGTGATTGTGATGATAGGGATGATTGTGATGACATGGATGATTGTGATGATAGGGATGATTGTGATGATAGGGATGAGGATGATTGTGATGATCAAGATGATTGTGATGATGATGATTGTCATGATGGATGATTCTGATGGGGATGATTGTGATGACATGGATGATTGTGATGACATGGATGATTGTGATGAGGGATGATTGTGATGAGGATGATTGTGATGACATGGATGATTGTGATGACATGGATGATTGTGATGACAGGGATGATTGTGATGAGGATGATTGTGATGACATGGATGATTGTGATGATCAAGATGATAGGGATGATCAAGCTGATTGTGATGATATGATGATTCTGATGAGGATGATTGTGATGACATGGATGATTGTGATGATCAAGATGATTGTGATGCTGATGATTGTCACGAGGGATGATTGTGATGAGGATGATTGTGATGACATGGATGATTGTGATGACATGGATGATTGTGATGATCGAGATGATAGGGATGATTGTGATGATCAAGATGATTGTGATGATGTGATGATTCTGATGAGGATGATTGTGATGACATGGATGATTGTGATGATGATGATGATTGTGATGATGATGATGATTGTCATGAGGGATGATTGTGATGATCAAGATGATTGTGATGATGATGATGATTGTCATGAGGGATGATTGTGATGACAGGGATGATTGTGATGACATGGATAATTGTGATGAGGATGATTGTGATGAGGATGATTGTGATGATAAGGAATGACTGAGATGACCATTATTATCCCCCGCAACGCATTTTGCAGGGGGTATTAAAATGGAATCCGTCCATGCACATTTGTCATTTCCGGAGCAGAACTCTAAAACCGTTCACTATTTCTTCACCAAACTTGGCACATACATTGATCTGGTGGTGTACTGGTGCCTTTTGGCAGTTTTGGAATTCTGAATCAAATATTTTTGGCGTTTCCATGGCAACAAGTTCGACTGACTGAAATTGGTGGTAGTGCTCTTTTCCGGAGCAGAACTCTAAAACTGTTCAATATTTCTTCACCAAACTTGGCACATAGATAGATCTGGTGGTGTACTGGTGCCTTTTGGTTGTTTTGGAATTCTGAATAAAATATTTTTGGCATTTCCATGGCAACAAGTTTGACTTAGACTGAAATTGGTGATAGTGCTCCTTTCTGGAGCAGAACTTTAAAAACCTTTCAATACTCTCCTTCCACTTTTCTATATACACACCTAAATATTTGACATAATCATAACTCGTAGACATAATCATGAAGAATATTTTGCCATTGCGGGGGATATTGATGACTTTGTCTTCTTGTGATGTTTGGGAGAGGGATGTATAGGTCCATGTTGATGTTTGGGAGAGGGATATATAGGTCCATGATGTTGATGTTTGGGAGAGGGATATATGGGTCCATGATGTTGATGTTTGGGAGAGGGATATATATGTCCATGATGATGTTTGGGAGAGGGATATATGGGTCCATGATGTTGATGTTTGGGAAAGGGATATATAGGTCCATGATGATGTTTGGGAGAGGGATATATGGGTCCATGATGTTGATGTTTGGGAAAGGGATATATAGGTCCATGATGATGTTTGGGAGAGGGATATATAGGTCCATGTTGATGTTTGGGAAAGGGATATATAGGTCCATGATGTTGATGTTTGGGAGAGGGATATATAGGTCCATGATGATGTTTGGGAGAGGGATATATGGGTCCATGATGTTGATGTTTGGGAGAGGGATATATAGGTCCATGATGATGTTTGGGAGAGGGATATATAGGTCCATGTTGATGTTTGGGAAAGGGATATAGGTCCATGATGTTGATGTTTGGGAGAGGGATATATAGGTCCATGATGATGTTTGGGAGAGGGATATATGGGTCCATGATGTTGATGTTTGGGAGAGGGATATATAGGTCCATGATGATGTTTGGGAGAGGGATATATAGGTCCATGATGTTGATGTTTGGGAGAGGGATATATATGTCCATGATGATGATGATTACAATTGTAATAACCACAAGAAAATGCTAATGTTTCAGGGAACAGGATATATAGGTCCATGTTGATGTTTGGGAAAGGGATATATAGGTCCATGATGTTGATGTTTGGGAGAGGGATATATAGGTCCATGATGATGTTTGGGAGAGGGATATATGGGTCCATGATGTTGATGTTTGGGAGAGGGATATATGGGTCCATGATGTTGATGTTTGGGAAAGGGATATATAGGTCCATGATGATGTTTGGGAGAGGGATATATGGGTCCATGATGTTGATGTTTGGGAAAGGGATATATAGGTCCATGATGATGTTTGGGAGAGGGATATATAGGTCCATGATGATGTTTGGGAGAGGGATATATGGGTCCATGATGTTGATGTTTGGGAGAGGGATATATGGGTCCATGATGATGATGTTTGGGAGAGGGATATATGGGTCCATGATGTTGATGTTTGGGAGAGGGATATATATGTCCATGATGATGATGATTACAATTGTAATAACCACAAGAAAATGCTAATGTTTCAGGGAACAGGGTTTGAAGGGAAGAACTGCGAACACAACATTGATGACTGCTGTGATTGCAGTTGTCTCAATGGCGTTACTTGCAACGACCTCATCAACGGTTTCAACTGCACCTGCCCACCAGGTAAGGCACACTGACCTACTGTCCAGGAAGCCTGAATGAATGATCCACATTAATGAGGGAACTTGTCAGAGAAGAGGAATACATTGAAGCAGTAAAGACAAACATGGAACTGACATTCATCCTCAAACCTGGATACCACTTTACTTGAATTTAATAAAAAAAAATAATTTTAATTTATGCACCAATACACCTAACTTCTGTAGAAATGGCAAAAAAAATTAAAACATAAAAAAACAATTTGCCTGAAGGTGTATAAATGTTCTTAGGGAAAACTTCTCATTCAGAATTTATTTTTATTATGTTTTTCTGTATTTATAATATATCTATCAATGCTCATGCTGTTGATCACTTGATTGTCTGGTCCGTCTCAATTATTTCCATATAGCTGGAATATTACTGAGTGGCATTAAACAACAAACAAACAAACATGTAACTGATCTATTTGTACAATTTTCCCAACTGTTTCAGGCTATAGCGGAAGTCGGTGTGAGATTGACAACAACGAGTGCAGCTCCAACCCATGTAAAAATGGTGGCCGATGTGAGAACCTCCCAGCTGAATACGAGTGTATCTGCCAGGTGAGCTTACGCTGACAGAATCATGCTTGACATTTACTAATAGCTCACCCGTGAAGATCCGGGTTAGAATTGATCTTCAGCAACCCATGTTTGTCATAAGAGGCGACTAATGGGATCGGGTGTCCTCGTATCCCAATTGCGTAGATCGATGCTCATGCTGTTGATCACTGGATTGTCTGGTGTAGATGCTAACACAGTTATCAAGCAAGTCACTTATTCATAAAAAAAAATCTTCTATGTAGTAGTTGATTGGTCATAGCGTACAAAGAGTTATCTCCCTTCTTCTGCAGCCGGGCTACACAGGTGTGAACTGTGAGACTGAAATTGATGAGTGTGAAGCTGAGCCGTGTGAAAATGGCGGCACCTGCAGTGATCTTGTCAACGACTACCGGTGTGATTGTAGCTCAGGTCAGTATGACAAACAATATAACTATTACACTCTCCAAAAACTCTTCCAGCAAATCTGATCTTTCATATGAAGGAAGAACTGACACGTAATATTTACCAGGGCTGACTACTGAGGGGGAATCAACTATTGCAGTAGCTATTGTCTATGGCAACATTATTGCGATAGCGATAGTCTATTGCAACCAACTATTGCAATAGTTTCTTTCTTCTTGAATTGACTGACTGACTGAGTTTGGTTTTACGCCGCTTTTAGCAATGTTCCAGCAACATCACGGCGGGGGACACCAGAAATTGGCTTCACACATTGTACCCATGTGGGGATTCGAACCCGGGTCTTCGGAGTGACGAGTCAACGCTTTAACCATTAGGCTACCCCACCGCCCTTCTTGAATTGTCTCCTTTGAAGTCATTTCCCAAATGAATGTATAGTTTATATGAAATAGAAACAGGTTGAAGTAGTTTCAGTCTCTTTTAATAACTGACAAGAAACTTGAAACTCAGATCAAGTAAACAGTTAAAACATAAACTCATTGAAGCTGCAAGTCTGTACCCAAACATCCTGTATCTTGTGCTGCTCATTTATCAACGGAAGTCAATTACTATCCATAGTCACATATACTAGTACTATCGATGCATCGATAGTTTTTCATTTCTACCATTGATTAATTGCTATTGGAGAATGAACAATTCCAATCCATCGATAGTTCGAAGCATCGTTACAGCCCTATTGTAAACCAATAGTGTGTGTTTTCTGCAAATTCATTGGTCGAGAAACCTTGTCGAACATAGTTCGATTCCCTGAATTACAAAAGCCGAATAACAGCCCAATGATACATAAGAATATGCACTACTTTCATTTGAACTGAACAGAATCGTTAGGGATCATTTTGTTTTATATTTCTGTGAAACTGTGTTTTGTTTTGTTCAGTTTATATAAAGCCACACTGTGCATATTCTACGATATATTCATATATATATTTTACCTGTCAGTTTGGTACAGGTAGGTTAAAAAAGAGAAGTATTACATACTTTGTTTGTTTCTGTGATTTTAATTGATCAGTCAAATCCATCAAGTATCTGCAAGTCCAAATATGTGTCCAAATGTATCTTGTAATTATTGACACCTCCAAAACAACAAACCTAGTATAAAAAGATATGAAGTATGAAATCTCAAGCAATCATATTTACAACTTGTAAAAGAACATAAAGAACTATCAAATATTTTTAAGTGAATAATCATAATATACATGATAGATACAAATATATTGACAGTAGCAGGTGACCTCATCTATATGAAGGGGCGGTGGGGTAGCCCAGTGGTTAAAGCGTTCGCTCGACACACCGAAGACCCGGGTTCAATTCCCTACATGGGTACAATGTGTGAAGCCCATTTCTGGTGTCCCCTGCCGTGATATTGCTGGAATATTGCTAAAAGCGGTATAAAACTAAACTCACTCACTCACTCTCCTATATGAACACTACCAAGTCAGCTGTCGTTCATTTCCAGCTGAAGGTCAGTATGTTGCAGTTACAGAGAGTTACAGAACATGATTTATAGAATTTTATAATATGAGGCACTCTCTTCATCAGCTGAATTTCAACAAATATAACTTCAGTCTTTAAATAATGTCACGATTATTGCAGGTTTTGACGGACGAAACTGTGAGATCAACAAAGATGACTGTGACCCATACCCTTGCTCCACACAGGGTACCTTGGAATGTATTGATGGTGTTGATGAGTTCACGTGTGACTGTCTGCCCTTGTGGACAGGTAAGAGAGTGGTGGATACTGCATGACCATTCTACTTATGTTTTTATCATGTATGATGAATATACAGGACAGCAATAGGCTGTGCATGTGGTATTTATTTATTGTAGCATTATATTATTATCATCATTATTCTCTCTCATTGTTATTATTACATTTAATCTTACCATTGTTTTTAGATTTAATATTTTATCATTAAAAACTTTGTATTATCATCATAAAACCTCTATTATTATTATTGCTGTGTTGTTTTTTATTGCAGTATTACTTTTAGAATTCTATTATTATGAAAATCATTGTCATCATTATCATTATCATTCAACTCTGGAACATGCTGACGAGTATGTGAATTTCCAGGCACTTTCTGTGAGACTCAGCTAGATGCCTGCCAGACCGAAAAGCCCTGTGCCAGTGGCGCCACATGTGTTCCAAACGGAGACACATTCACATGCTCTTGTCCTCCAGACTACACAGGAACCCTCTGCTCTGTGAGTACAAAAGTTTCCTGAAGTCAGGAGCGAGTGAGTGATTATAGTTTTATGGCATTTTTAACAGTATTCCAGCAATATCATAAGCCAACATCAATGTTGCATACAAAACTTGCAAAACTTGGAAGAACACAGACACATGACCCTTTTGTGCATTTTATGCAAGAAGTATCTCTGAAATGTCATGACAAAGAATATAAGTTGTTTTCCATAAAAAGTGTCATGTGTCATCTTCAGCCATTCTGTTTAAACATAAATTCATATTATGAGAGTCTGTGTGACTGTGCAAAGTTGAATGTTGGTTGAATGTTGGTTGAATGTTGGTTGAATGATGTTGAGTGTAGGTTGAATGATGTTGAATGTTGGTTGAATGATGTTGAATGTTGGTTGAATGATGTTGAGTGTAGGTTGAATGATGTTGAGTGTAGGTTGAATTATGTTGAATGTTGGTTGAATGATGTTGAGTGTAGGTTGAATGATGTTGAGTGTAGGTTGAATGATGTTGAGTGTAGGTTGAATGATGCTGAGTGTAGGTTGAATGATGTTGAATGTAGGTTGAATGGCAGCTGTTAATTTTAAACCTGGTTCTAAGAGTTTCCAGGGCTTTGGTCATGGTTTTTGGTTTCAAAAATTGCAGTGTTCCTTTATAAATGCAATTTTGGTCAAACAAGGTTGTTTTCACTGGCAGATGGGTACCATCTTTAATTGTACATTTATGTAAATAGAGACATTCTAGAGATGTATATTCCTCAGGGAGCTGAGTATGTTTGTTGAATGCACACTGATCCATTGACCTTAGAATTAGCTGTGTATTGATGCAGCATGTTTAAAGCATCAGTGTGGGAAAAGATGCAGACATATTTGTTGTATGTATTTATAATCATCTAGTTGTAATGATACACTTGTGACTTAATTCTAGGTGACGTGAAATTGGGTTTAAAGTCGTGCTTGAGAATATTTCGCTCATATGACAACGTGCATGCGTGTGTATGTGTATGTGCGGCTGCTTGTACTAGCCCAGACTTAAGCTGGTTATATAGTGCTAGCCCACTGAGATACCATGCCGCAGTGAAGCATGAATACCCCACTCAGACACAGTATACTGACTCCGAGCCGACGGTTCTTGGTGTACCCATTAATACCGAGAGCCAGACAGGGACCAACAAGTACCATATTTTAACGTCTTTTGGTATGACGCGGTCAGGGTTCGAACCCTCGACCTTCCGCTCTCCGGGCGGATGCTCTAACCACTACACCACGGAGGTGGTCCTTAATTCTAGGATTCATATATTTTAAAAAAATGTTTTAAATAATCACAAGACTACACCTAACTAACTTTGACTGTTACAGTGAGGGTTGATGGTTGAGAAACGCCATTACAATTATATCAAATAAACAATTGCACAAAGTCAGTTTTTGTCAGAAATGTCTGTATTCATTTATATTTAATGATCAAGATGCCATCACATATTGTTCCTATTTAAGGAATTAATCCCACCCAGCCCAAACCACTTGACATTATCTACACCTCTCAGAATCACTGGACTCTTCTTTCATCCACAGACAAAGATTGACAACTGTGCCTCCAAGCCGTGTCTGAACAACGCCACCTGCATTGACGGCACCTACAACTACACCTGCAACTGTTCCTCTGGGTTCCTCGGCCGCAACTGTGAAGTCAACATTGACGAGTGCGAGTCGGACCCCTGTCACAATGGTGGCATCTGTAACGACATCATCGATGGATTTACATGCAGGTGCTCAATTATGTAGTTAAATATTAGCCACTTTTGATTATTTATAAGAGTTAGTTCAAATATCAGTTTTAGTGCCATCTGAAAAAAGAGGATAAGAATGAATGCATTAAAAGCCATGTTAAAAATATTGTTCAGTTATGGTATGGGGTAAACATAGGGCAAGTATAGTCTGTTTGCAGTGAAAACGTACTAATGAATTTCACTTTAAACAAAAAAGTAAATCAAATAAAGTGAAATTAAGATTTTGAATCCTCATAATTTTACCTTGCCAATTGAACATTTAAATCTCAAAATTGTATTTAAATTAGGATAAAAGTTGTTTAACAAACGATCATAGATTCAAATCGCTATTACTGGTTTGTATTACAATGGTGTAAGTGCAGTAGTTGGAACAGTGAAACAAATGCACGTGCGGTACGTGAAGAGCGTTAACGTATAACAACCCTTGTCGTATTCGGTGTTTCATTTGATGTGCATAGCTCCTTGTAATACAAACCAATAATAGCCATGCGAGACTATGATCGTTTGTTAAACAACTTTTATCCTAAGTCGAATAAAATTCTGAGATTGAAATGTTCAATTGGCAAGGTAAAATCATTAGGATTCGCAGTCTCAATTTCACTTTATTTGCTTTACCTTTTGGTTTAAACTGACATTCATCGGTACGTTTTCACTACAAACAGACTATAGTCTCTGAGGAGACCCATGATGATCTGGGTGAGAAAAGGTCTTCAGCAATTCCTGTTTGTCATAAGAGTGAGTGAGTGAGTTGGGTTTTACGCCACATTTATCAATATCCTAGCAATATCACGGCGGGGGACACCAGAAATGGGCTTCACACATTGTGCCCATGTGGGGATTCAAACCCGGATCGTCAGCGTGACGAGTCGACGCTTTAACCATTAGGCTACCCCACCGCCCCTGTTTGTCATAAGAGGCAACTAATGGGATCTGATGGTCAGGCTCACTGACTTGGCTGATTCTTGTCGTCATATCTCAGCTCTGCAGATTGATGCTCACCATGTCAACCACTAGTTTGTCTGGTCCAGACTCATATATTTACAGACTGCCGTCATTTAGCTGGAATACTGTATATTGTGTGGCGTTAAAAAAACAACAACCCAAAACTCTAGCCCCAGGTACTCTCTTGGCCCACTCTGGATGTTGATGTATGGATGTTGAGCAGTCTGAGTCAACAATGATAATATTGATGCTTTTATTAAGTTCCAGTATGGTTTTGTGATAATTGATTACAATCAGAGATTAATCTATCACCCTTTTCAGAAACAATCTTCATTGTCAGTCGATTTTGTAGAAAAGTCAGAATTTCCACTCAATAACCGGTATATATGTTACAGTCAGATTGTGAAATCAGTCATTTTGTGAAATGACTAAAAAATGTCAGTCGTTTCGTGAAATAACTAAGAGGGTCAGCCATTCAACTATCCCTACTGCTCATTCTCTTTCTTCCTGGGATAACCTTGGCATTCTCTCTGTGTGACTTTATGTGCAGTGATATTGCAGTGGTGGACAGGCCATTTATACTGATTTTTCGCACGATCTTTCCCATGTATCCGACTAAGACATGTGTTTCGTATTTCTGAGAGTTGGGGCCACTAAATGCGTTTTGGCCATTTGTTTCGTGCAATCACGAACATTGGCAATAGTTATCAAGCACATTTACATTAAATTTGATGGAAACATCCAAACCTATTTATATGGCCAATAGCGAAATGGCTGATCTTCTTAGTCATTTCATGAAATGACTGAAATTTGTAGTCATTTCACGAAATGACTGATTTCACAATCTGACTGTAACATATATAAGATACAAGCAGTGATACATTTTCATTTAAGAAATAACATTTTCAGTAATAGAAGCATGAATTTGACAGGTTATATTTTTAAATATACAGCATATTTGTAACAAAATATGATCTGTGATTGGAAAAGAATCCAATTAAAAGATCAGAAAGACCAGACCAGTTAACAACTATGTTTACTCCAGTCTCCAACAAAAGAAACTGTTGAATTTAACAGGAAAAAATATACAACAGGATGCAATCACAACATTTTTGCAATGCATCTGTGCCTGCTGTATGCATTGTGTTTATTGTGTCATGTTTATTGTGTTGTGTTCTTGCAGCTGTTTACCTGGTTTTAATGGCACCCAGTGCGAGAGTGATATAGACGACTGTGCCAGCATGCCCTGTCATAATGGAGGAACGTGTAGGGATCTGGTCAATGACTTCGAGTGTGACTGTGTCAGAGGTGAGTGTCAAAGTCATAATGAGACACTGGACATTTACAACTTTATATGACACAATAGTGTGGTCATTTTTAGAATATTGATCTTGTAAATAGGGAATGAATAACATGTGATGCCTCGTGCTTTTACATGGGTTTGAAAAATATGCCCCAAATTTGCTGTAAGAAGTTTACAAATATACTGTTAAAAACATTAAGGTCACCTTTTATATTTTTTTTCTCATTACTCATTAGGCCAGACCAATTTTATTTCTTGTTTCACGGATTCGCCTGTCATTTTTTTTCAAGAATAAGACAAAAAATTAAAATTAATTTTCCCCACTCAAAAAATAAATTCCTAATGTTTTTATTGGCCAGAAATGTAAACTTACAAGAAAAATGTTTTTTTAGATGTTTCTTGCCCCATAAACACTTCATAAATTGCCAAAAGTAAAATACTTTGAGTATTTAGAAGGAATATTACTTTGACTGGTGATTTTATTTTCATTTTTTTTTTTCCTCCTGCCTTTAGGTTTTCTGAGGACAAAAATCCATAAAACAAGAAATAAAATTGGTCTGGCCTTACTAATAGTTTTGTATTTTACAATGTCAATATCCATAATATGTTTTAGATTTATTGATATCATTGAGTATTTCAGAAACAATGTAGGGACTTGAGGCAGCCTAGAAGCTTCATGGTTGAAACATTTACTGGGCATGCCAAACACCTTGGTTTGATTCCCTACATAGTTTCAATATGTGAAGCCCATTACTGGTGTCACCCACCATATTTCAGTTATATTGCTACGAACAGTGTAAAACAATCCTCACTCACTGACTCCAGTTTCCAGGCATCAGTACTTAACATCCCCAAAACTGAAAGCAAAAAATGTCCATCACCAAATTTACACTTTTGTGTATATATGTTGTATCTTTTGATTTTAACCTAAAAGTATCCGATGTGAAAACAATGTTTGTTACCATCCAGGGTATACAGGCAAGTCATGTGAGACAGAGATTGACGAATGTGCTGTCAAGCCCTGTAAAAACGGAGGGACATGTGTTGACGGTATTGGAACATTTGAGTGTGAATGTCTGGAAGAGTTTGAAGGGGAGCTGTGCGAGACGGCCATCGATGACTGTGTCTTCAATAACACCTGTCTGAACGGCGCCACCTGTGTTGACGGATGGAGGAGCATCACCTGCATCTGTCCACCGCTGTTCGGAGAGGAAGACTGTGGGAAAGGTCAGTAACATCTGTGTTGAATTGATCAAGTTTGTTTACTCGTTGATTGTTATAGAATTTTGATAAGAACACACACCTTAATTTGAAACAAACGAGATTAGAGATTCAGAACCTGAACCTGAGGATATTCAAGATTTGATTCATTTAGGACATGACAGAGTCTTTGAATGGCATTTAGAAGTGATACACATAAAGGCAAGAATTTGATTGATGTCAACTATATTCTTACTCCTTGAATGAATGATGAAGGAATAAGAATATACTTGAAACGTCGTGTCCATCACAATAAAGAAGTTGATATCCATCAAATTCTTGCTTCTATCATTACAGTTCGGGAAGGAGAGATATATGTCTTCTTTGAGTGGCATTTTAGAAATTGGGAAGTACGATATCTACAAACTTTTTGGACAACTTCTTTTCTTACATGAGTGCGATGTTTTGATGCAGGAAGCTTGACAATGGTACAAGAATCTCATTTAATAAAAGAAATTTAAATTTTGATGTTTCTGTTACTGTTTCAGAGAAGTCTGATGACTATGACCTTCACTGCCAAGGTCAGAATGGATCATATAATAATAATTAATGAAATTGTTATCCACAGAGAAGTTTATCAATATTGTGTGAACTGCCTCAAGTTTACGTCGGCACCAACCTGACCGAACTCACTCTCTGTGTCTGGGTCAGGTTCGGGCAACTTGGCGGCAACAGCACTTTCCTGACATTAATGGAGATTAACAAGTATGTGGCTTGTAAAATTTGCATGTATTTGTGTCTGTGTGGTTCTGAGTTTGAGTTTGCTTGTTGTAATAGCCGAGAATCGGGATCATTGGGTCAGGTTCCATGACTTGGTTGCTTTGCGTGTCAATGTATCCCAATAGCATGGAATATTGGTCATAACGTCAATCACTGGTTTTTCTGGTTCAGACTGTCTGCAGAATTATGTTTAACAACAAAGAAACGAATAATGTGTGCTTTTCTGTTCATCCTTATAGACCATGTTGATTTGTTTTCAAGAATGACATCCATCTTTCTGTTCACTCATAAACTATAGTTGATTTTTTATGTGAAAAATGATTTTTTCATTTAACCCATTGTACCCATGTGTGGATTCGAACCCAGTTCTTCGGCGTGACGAGCCAACGCTTTAACCACTAGGCTACCCCACCGCCCATTTAACACATGTCCTTAGTGTAACTATTATTATTATTTTTGTCTGATAATCAGCATCTTGAAGTCTGTCAGTTGAAGTTCACCTTTTCCTATTGCTTAAAATAGAATGACTACAGCTTTTATATTTTCCTTATTGTTGCTGATTAAAGAATTCTTGATATGACTAATTAACCAATGTTTTCTTTCAGACAAAATGAAGAAACTGGTGATGAAGGAGGCAGAGCCATGGTGGAATTATCTGGTAACCAGGCAACCATTGACCTTTTCAATGACCTTGACACTGTTGAAGTTGACCTTGTTAGCAATGATGGTGTGTGGCACCATGTGTGTTTCTGGTGGACTTCTGGGGAATGGAACTTGTGGAAGGATGGTGAGCTGCAAGAGAGTGGCAGTTCCTATGGCAACAACAGAAACCTCCCACAATGGTAAAATATTTTCTCATCATCACCGTTATTTCTACTCTTACAATCCAGTCATAATTAAATATGATAAATTTTGATATAACTAGATAAACACTTTATCATAAATTCAGAGTGATATTGTCTTAAGCTCATTAGTCTAGAAATGTGTGAAAGAAATGTCCAGATAAACAGTGAGTGAGTGAGTTAAGTTTTACGTTGCACTCCAGCTATATTCCAGCTATAATGAGCAGTTTGTAAATAAGCAAGTCTGGACCAGACAATCCAGTGATCTATGCAATTTGGAACCGATGACATGTGTCAACCAAATCAGCAAGCCTCACCACCCGATCCCGTTAGTCACCTCTTACGACAAGCATGGGTTACTGAAGATCAATTCTAACCCAGATCTTCATGGGTTCCAGATAAACATGGTTCCACTGTATGGGGAATCTCTTGGACATTTTTGTGCTAAAGGGCTGATGTAGTTATATCTTGTGTCCAGGCTTCAAGTCATCGCTGGTCAGAAGTTTGAGGCCGATGACGATGACGACCAGTTCCGCGGAGAAGTGAGCCAGGCAAATGTCTACAGCTCCATCCTCAACGAATCCATCATCCAGACGATGGCTGCCAACTGTAGCGGTCTCCGGCTGGCCGGTGACATCTACAACTGGGTCATCTTTGGGGACTACATCCGTAACGACGTCATCATCGTGGAACCAGGACTGTGTGGGGAATCTGATTGTCCTCCAGGCTACAGAGGAACATACTGTGACATCAAGATTGGTAAATATGTCAAAATATTGTCTCTGTTCCTTAAAAGAATACTTTGAACAATATATCTAGTCACTCAAAACAAATGAGATTCTGATCAAGCTGTTTTGGAATTCTTTTCTTCCAATCAGTAACATGCTTTCATTTTAACATAGTTTTAGAGCCTCTTGCAGTTTATTGTGCACAAAGTTGATGCTACAATCTAAAACTTGGTTTGGGTCAAAATTTGTGCATGGCATCATTTATAGGAAACTTGTACACAAAGCTACAGGGTTAGGACAGCTGACATTGAAATGGGAATTTGATCTAAATCAGCAACCTACATGCTTATGAGGCAATTAAGAGAATTGATGGGTCTGGATTTTTGTTTTGGTTTAATTAGGTATCCAGTTACTTGATTGATGTTAATCACTTAATCGTCTGGTCGAGTCTAAATTATTTACAGACTTGTCATACAGCTGAAATATTGTTGAGTGTGTTGTTGAGCAAAAACGCCAGAAAAACAGTGGACCTAGTACAGTTTTGGCCAACCCTGGCTGTTTCCTCCAATGACACGTTGTCTGTGCTGTCACTTCCCCATCTGTGTTGCAGACAAGTATCCCCCCGAGGTAGAGTACTGTCCAGAGGACATCCTAGTGGTCAGCCGCGACAACCGTCTCAGCGTAGTGGAGTGGGAGGAACCGGTCTTCACTGACGATGTTGGAGTTGTAAACATAGAGCAGACGCATCGATCAGGTAAGGCAGGCGTTGTTGTCGTGTGGAAGTTGAGTTATAAGAGATTGGATTGGCACTGTTTTCTGGTAGTTATGGGAGATTCAACAGTAAAACTAGGCTCCAACAAACTGAAAAATGGAAAGACAGTCTTTGTGTTCCAAATGTAGAAATATTGTTTAGAACTCACAAAACCATTGTTGTGAAATAGATGTGCTGTGTGAGATGCTGAATTTGACCTTTATTCTGGAAAACTGCTAAACTGAGGGTAACTTCTACATTTGGGAGGGGCAGTGGTGGGGTAGCCTAATGGTTAAAGCGTTGGCTCGTCACGCTAAAGACCCGGGTTCGAATCCCCACATTGGCACAATGTGTGAAGCCCATTTCTGGTGTCCCCCGCCGTGATGTTGCTGGAATATTGCTAAAAGTGGCGTAAATCCAAACTCCGTCAGTCAGTCTACATTTGGGATTATGCTTTCTTAGTAAAGTACAGATTCTAGTACTTTTAGGGGTTGAGGCCTATTCAGAATTTGAACCCACACTCTCAGAATGAAGCTCCTAATTGCCAGCACCCACTCAGCAACCGAGCTTCCACAAAAATGGAAGTCTGACAACTTATAGTCCCGGCCCTGATTTCTTGAAATGAACTTAAGTCTGAGTTTTGACTTCAGTTAGAGTTTTTACTCAAATTTGAGAAAATGCATTTCCCAGAATGAACTGAAATCGATATGAAACTCAAACATAGTAGACAATTTGAGTTTGGTGGATAGATTACTAAGTTATTTGGGCTTTTTTATTTTAAAAGTGCAGTTGAGTTAAAAATACAGCTGTTTCAAATTGTCGAACTCAGTTTGAAATTTGAGTAAAAACTTTAAGTTTGTTTCGAGATATCGGGGCCAGATCACGTACATTGTGTCCCCTTGACAAGTGTAACATATGACACCTGTGACAACATTCTGAATTGCATTGTGGATTCATTGCATAAACTGAGGTTAAGGACATGCGAAATGTTATTTGCAGGTCAGACCTTCGCGTACGGGGAGTACATCGTCAGCTACGTCGCCTATGACGCAGAAAACAACTCAGCGGAATGTGAATTTGACATCATAGTCAAGCGTGAGTACCATCTTCATCCCCTCCAACACTAACTATTTATAATTCTGCTGTGTTCTCTTTTTTCTTTTTTACACCGCAATCGGGAAAATTCCAGCTATATGGCGGTGGTCAGTAAATAATCGAGTCTGGACCAGCCAATCCAGTGATCAACAGCATAAGCATCAGCAACTGGGATCCGATGACGTGTGCCAACCAAATCAGCGAGCCTGACCACCCGATCCTGTTAGTCGCATCTTATGAAAAGCATGGGTTACTGAAGATCAATTCTAACCCAGATCTTCACGGATTCTTTGTTCTCTAAGCATCAGTCCGGCCTAACATCAAGGTGTCAATTATATATTTTCAGCGTTTGACTGCGTTGAACCCCCTTCTCCCCTGAATGGTGGCAAGGCGTGTCGGGCGTGGCAGCATGGACACTACTGTTCCATTGCATGCTTCCCCAACTATGAGTTCGTGGAATTTCCTCCCCCGTTCTACCGCTGTGGCAAGGAAGGATTCTGGGACCCACCGCGAGGCAGCCCTTTCCTGTTTCCATCATGTGCAAGTGAGTACAGTTGATACTATAGTGTTCCCTTTTGGGAGGGTATACTACTCAAATGTATACTACTCAAAACACATCAAAGAACACCCAATTCATTTATATTAGGCCAGACCAATTTTATTTCGTGCTTTACAGACTTTTGTCCTCAGAGAACCTAAGGCATGAGGGAAATAAAAGAAAAGAAATCACCAGTCATGGCAAAACCCACATGAGTTTCCATGTTAACTCTTTTGGTTTGTTTATATCAACTAAAAATAAGTTGAGTGAGTTTAGGTTTCACACAGATTTCAAGAGTATTATATCACATTAACATTATGATTTTATTTTTTGAGCGGAAAATTTAATTAATTTTTTTCTTATTCTAGAAAAAATATGACCAGCGGATCCATAAAACAAGAAACAAAATTGGTCTGGCCTTGCTATAGTTAACCTGTCAGAGTAACATGAAAAAGTCATGACATGTCAGGGCTAAATAACTAGTATTGTGTATACTTCAACTTCTTTTCATGAGTATATTTTGATCATGACCCTTCCATGCTTCTGGAATGTCTTTTACTATATTTCATTCTGTTTTTAGTTTTGTTTTGTTTCTTTAACATTAGAGTTGAAATTAACATTAACAATAAGGGGAAACGTGATGACAAAACAGAATAATCCTATTCTCTATAGTTTTGATACAAGTAGGGCATCTAAATAGATTCAGCAAGGACAGTGAAGGACCAGCTTTTGGCTCAGCAGTCTAGCTTTCCAACATCAATTTGTCTATTTTTTGTCTAAATGTTTCTGATATATGACAATCAGCTCAACTGTTAATGATAATTACACTTAGAATTATTTTTACCAGAGCATGACTTAGCAATAAATTGTAGTCAGGAAAGTAGTACTTGGTCATTACTATGAAGTAGCCAATAGTGGACCTAGAGTTTTATCTCTCACCTATTTCATACAAGTTATTCTACATAAGTTTATCACTAATAAGTGTTTAATAAATTCAAATATTTTACATGGAGTAAATTACAACTTCTGAACCTAGGCATCAGATGTGCACCAGACAATGGAGCACTGTCTTGCTAGAAATATACACGATGCCCTTCTGTTTCCGTGCCCTACCCTCCAGCATCCTTGGAGGAGGAGTAGACTTCAGTGGCCCACAGTTCCTAGAAATATACACGATGCCCTTCTGTTTCAGTGCCCTACCCTCCAGCCTCCAGCATCCTGGGAGGAGGAGTAGACTTCAGTGGCCCACAGTCCCTAGAAATATACACGATGCCCTTCTGTTTCAGTGCCTTACCCTTCAGCCTCCAGCATCCTGGGAGGAGGAGTAGACTTCAGTGGCCCACAGTCCCTAGAAATATACACGATGCCCTTCTGTTTCAGTGCCCTACCCACCAGCCTCTAGCATCCTTGGAGGAGGAGTAGACTTCAGTGGCCCACAGTCCCTAGAAATATACACGATGCCCTTCTGTTTCAGTGCCTTACCCTCCAGCCTCTAGCATCCTTGGAGGAGGAGTAGACTTCAGTGGCCCACAGTCCCTAGAAATATACACGATGCCCTTCTGTTTCAGTGCCCTACCCACCAGCCTCTAGCATCCTGGGAGGAGGAGTAGACTTCAGTGGCTCACAGTTCCTAGAAATATACACGATGCCCTTCTGTTTCAGTGCCCTACCCACCAGCCTCTAGCATCCTTGGAGGAGGAGTAGACTTCAGTGGCTCACAGTTCCTAGAAATATACACGATGCCCTTCTGTTTCAGTGCCCTACCCACCAGCCTCCAGCATCCTGGGAGGAGGAGTAGACTTCAGTGGCCCATAGTCCCTAGAAATATACACGATGCCCTTGTTTCAGTGCCGTACCCACCAGCCTCTAGCATCCTTGGAGGAGGAGTAGACTTCAGTGGCCCACATTTCCTAGAAATATAGACGATGCCCTTCTGTTTCAGTGCCCTACCCACCAGCATCCAGCATCCTTGGAGGAGGAGTAGACTTTAGTGGCCCACAGTGTACCGAGGCATTCAAGAGTCAGCTCAGAGATCGATTCATCGCTATCATGCGACAGCTGGACGCGCGTATCGGCCTGTGTACACCGGAGGAGTGTTCGTATGATGACATCAACGTGGACTGTGGCAACCGGAGGAGGAGAGACACCTCCTCAAATGTCGTGTTCCATGTGTCCTTTTCAGTTAATCTGTCAGCAAATGGGTGAGGAGGCGATTATATAATCAGATGTTTAAATCTGGATGCTAGTATAAATCTTTCCTAGAATCTGAATCTGAATATGGGATCTGATCCCGAATCTGGATCTCACATTCACACCGTCCCTCACACTCACGTTGAAACTGACATTCAATCACAGTGGCACTCACACTCAGGCTTATGCTGTAGCTTACACTCTAGACCCGAGAACATCCGGGTTTGAATTGATCTTCAGTAACCCATGCTTGTTGTAAGAGGTGACTAACGGGATCGGGTGGTCAGACCTGCTGACTTGGTGGACACATGTCATTGAATCCCAGTTGCGTAGGTCAATGCTCATGCTGTTGATCACTGGATTGTGTGATCCAGACTGGATTATGTACAGACTGATGCCATATAGCGGAATAACAAACAAATACACACACATTGATTACCTCTGTTTGTGTTTCTCTCTCGCCCTCTCCCTCTTGCTCTTGCTCTCTCTCTCTCTCTTGGGCAGCACCTAAATGCCAATCCCTCTGTAACTTGAAATTTATTGAGAACCTGAAAATTTTCATCCAATATCTTTCATTACCTTCATCCATGATGAACACTGAACATGTGTCAGAACACTGAATAACTTCTATTAACTTTCAGTAACGCTCTAGAGAACGAGGGTGATGCGTACATAACTGAAGAGCTGGAAAACACAGTGAAGCGTGGCGAGTTCAACTTCATGAACTTCTCGGCTGACGTGACGACCCTGAGCGTGAATGTGGAGCTGCAGTGTCTGGCGGGACAGGCTCTGACCACCATCAACCAGACCAAGAAAGTCTGCTGTATGTATAACACTGGACAATGTCAGGACTGGTCACTGACATTCATCAAATATCTTTCAACATATATCTCATTTTGTAAAATAGATCTACAAGAAAAATATGGAAGTAACATCCAAAACGAGCCTAGAACTGAACTTAACTTCCCACTGTTGAGGCAATCTAGACTTGCCACATCATTCTAGACTTCTGTTGGACTTTTTCAATAATGTATTCACAAGGGTGAGTTGTGTTGAGGTGAATTAGATTGTGTTGAGTGAAGTTATGATATGTTGAGTTGAGGTACAATATGTGTTGAGCTGACATTTCTTTCAGCTGAGTCAGGATGTGTGGATTTGAATAACAATGTCCTGAGCTGACTTATGATGTCTTGAGCTATGTTATGATGTGTTGAGATGCCTTGAGCTTGTCAGATGTGTTGAGTTGCAATGTCTTGAGCTGAATTACGATGTGTTCAGCTGAATTACGATGCATTGAGTGGTGTTACGATGTGTTGAGTTGCAATGTCTTGAGCTAAATTACGATGTGTTCAGCTTGATGCATTGAGTGGTGTTACGATGTTGAGTTCAGCTGAGCTATTACGATGTGTTCAGCTGAATTACGATGCATTGAGTGGTGTTACGATGTGTTGAGTTGCAATGTCTTGAGCTATGTTACGATGTGTTCAGCTGAATTACGATGCATTGAGTGGTGTTACGATGTGTTGAGTTGCAATGTCTTGAGCTATGTTACGATGTGTTCAGCTGAATTACGATGCATTGAGTGGTGTTACGATGTGTTGAGTTGCAATGTCTTGAGCTATGTTACAATGTGTTCAGCTGAATTACGATGCATTGAGTGGTGTTACGATGTGTTGAGTTGCAATGTCTTGAGCTATGTTACGATGTGTTCAGCTGAATTACGATGCATTGAGTGGTGTTACGATGTGTTGAGTTGCAATGTCTTGAGCTATGTTACGATGTGTTCAGCTGAATTACGATGCATTGAGTGGTGTTATGATGTGTTCAGCTGAGTTATGATGTAATTAATTCCAGTGATGAGTATGTCATATTGTTCCAGTGGACTGCCCGATGGGCTATTTCCTGAACGAAACAACCGGAGATTGTGAGATATGCTCGGAGGGAACGTACAACAGTGCTGACAGACAGACACAATGTACAGCCTGTCCCCCAGACCACACAACAGGTGCCCCCGGAGCCGTCAACGTCTCACAGTGCTACGGTGAGATTAAACAATCAATGGTCTACAGGTGTAACAGACAGAACATAATAGGCATTCACTCTCAGACAAACTTTTTTATCATTTACATTATAATGAATTCTTCAACATGAAATTATAATAATTTGGTTTTCTCAAGTGTAAGTGTAAGATATCAAATATAACAGGTACAGATAAGCTGCGTATCTGTGTAAATTGTGCAAATATTTAGGTGAAAACTCAATTCCTATTAAGTCTATTGCATACAAGTACACTTGAATGTTTGTAAATACTCAATAAATTTGATCTTACATGCATCCACACAAAATAGATAATATAACTGAGGTATATTATATTGAGAGGTTCTACTTCAGCACATGGCAACTTGCAGTCTTTCTTATCGTTTCTCATATTACAGATCAAATATAAATAACAAACACATCAACCAACATTTAAACTTTAATTATATTTTTACAATTAAGGCCAGTCCAATTTTATTCTTGTTTTACAGATTTTTGTCCTCAGAAACCTAAAGGCAGGAGGGGAAAAAAATATCACCAATCAAAGTAATATTCCTTTTAAATACTTCAAGTATTTCACTTTTGGCAATTTATGAAGTGTATATGGGGCAACAAACAATAAAAAACATTTTTGGGTAAGTTTACATTTTTGGCCAATAAAAACATTAGTATTTTATTTTTTGAGCAGGGAAAATTATTTTTTTTTTTTTTTCTTATTCTTGAAAAAATATGACCAGCGGATCCGTAAAACAAGAAATAATATTGGTCTGGCCTAATGGAAAATGGCATAATACCCAATTGAATTTGAGTGAGGTGGGTACAATTTATTTGGTTACTCAAAGGAAAATTAGGATACCCAATTCAGATGAACACAAGCGAGTACATAACTCAATGACCCAAAACTTTATCTGTAGCTCTGATATATGTTTTTGTGAGTTCACAGTTAAAGTGACTTATACCATGAGTCATTATAAGTATCATTATACTTTGGGTCGTTTTACGTTTGTAATGTTGAAACCCTTTTGATCAGCTCTTTCATGTTGTCAACAGGATTTTGTATCATTTGAACATAATTTGAGTTTAGAAAATTATATTTCTATGCTTTTATCCGTACAGGGCTCAGTTAAAAAAGCAGTCATAAAGACAACATTATTTTAACTCCAAGACTGTGATAGTGCTGCGATCTCTTTGTGGAAAGGGTCCCTGTTTATGGTGATTGCCTAAAGACCATTCATAATTTATGGCTAGGGGGTGATGATGATTTTTAAGGGGGGGGGGGGTCACCCATTTTGTTCTGGTGAGGTAGTGGGGTCAGCAATTTTGTTCACATGTACTAGGGGAAAGGTCAGCAATTTTGTACATGACATGCAGGGTGGTCACTTACTTTGTACATAAATTTTAGGAGGAGTCATTCACATTGTACATGTTTCTCCATAAAAATCATCATCACCCCCCTAGCCAAAATTTATGAACGGTCCCTTACCTTCATTGTTATCTTAGTCATACATCATCGTCTATATCTGCATCGTCGGCTACATTGTCTACATCTACCTCTTCATCTTGCTTGTCTACAGCTGTGTGCAGTCCTGGTCATTTCTACAACTCTGGGTCTGGCCAGTGCCAACGCTGTCCCCTGGGAGAGTATCAGAATGAGATTGGACAAACATCCTGCAAGTCCTGTCCCCCAGGGCAGTCCACGGAGACAACGGGGACAATCCACGGTGAAGACTGTGCTTGTGAGTCATAGCTTCTGCCCACTTAGTCAAAATGATGGTGATACTTTCCTATTTATGCTTGAGATATTAGGACATTGCGTTGAAGGTATTTAAATTACATCAAATTGAAGCGTTGTTTGAAGAGGTTTCCAATGAAAATCACCAAAGACAACAAAAATATATCATAGAGCACTCTACCTGAAATTGTTTTCAGTCTTCTTTGTTAATTTATCTGGTGATGCTTTTGTTGACTAAAATATATATGTTTACCCAGGCAGAACCATTTAACTTGTGCCATGCCCACATGTGGGAAACTGCCACCTCTAAAAACCAGAATCTTTGAACACCATGACAACACTGTGGCAAGACTGTAATGTAACCATGACAACATGATAACATCCTGGCAACATCATGAAACCTCTTTGAAAACACCATGGCAACATCATGACTGACTGACTGACTGACTGACTGAGTTTGGTTTTACGCCGCTTTTAGCAATATTCCAGCAACATCACGGCAGGGGACACCAGAAAAGGGCTTCATATATTGTACCCATGTGGGGATTCGAACCCGGGTTTTCGGTGTGACGAGCCAACGCTTTAACCACTAGGCTACCCCGCCGCCCGGCAATATCATGAAACCTCTATGAAAGCATCATGGCAATATCATGAAAAACACCAATGACAAACACCATAGGACACCATGAAACTTTACACCATCGTTAGGTCATTGAGAATTTGATTGTAGTAAATGAAATATTCCCACATCACACTTTGTTCCAGATTTGTGTCGTCTTGGTGAGGAGTTGGGAGTAACTGCTACTTGTCAACCGTGTCCGATTGGGAGCTACCGAGAATCCTTCTTAACCGACTTTTGTCAACTATGTCCATACGGCTGGACCACGGAGAAAGAAGGATCCACCTCTAGTAGTGACTGCTCTGTTGGTGAGGAGATATTGATATCTGTATTGTTTGGGGAAATATTTCTTAATATGTGAACAAACAAACTCAACAAACAAATTATGTCATGTATAATTCAAAATAAAAGGCTATTTGTCACCATGTGCATCCTGGCTTAACCGACCGCCTCCGTGGTGTAGTGGTTATAGCGTCCGCCCGGAGAGCGGAAGGTCGCAGGTTCGATCCCCGACCGCGTCATACCAAAAGACGTTAAAATATAGTACTTGTTGGTCCCTGCCTGGCACTCGGCATTAATGGGTACAACAAGGACTGGTTGGCTCGGATTCAGTATAATGTGTCTGAGTTGGGTATTCATGCTTCACTGCGGCATGGTATCTCAGTGGGCTAGCACTATAAAACCAGCTTCAGTCTGGGCTAGTACAAGCAGCCGCACATACACATACACACGCATGCACGTCGTCATATGAGCGAAATATTCTCAAGCACGACATTAAACCAAATTTCACCTCACCTCAAGATACATATAAACTAAATATATAATATAACAAATATACCATAACAAAACAAAAGACTACATGGACACAAAGAAATATGGAATTAATAGAATTCAATGACACGTATGAATCTCCAAACCTCATTTTGAAAATCATTGGATGCAATGTTTTTTTCAGCTGAATGTTCAAGAGGCGAGTATCGCACAGAAAACAACAAGTGTCAATCATGTCCAAAGGGTACCTACCAACCGAAGCGCGGCGCCACTTCCTGTATTCCATGTGGGCCAGGTCTGACCACTCCTGGTGTAGGCGAGGTGTCTGAGGACCGATGTTACCCTGGACCAGTCAATGAGTGTGACCTGAACATTGACAACTGTGACACTAACGCCATCTGTGAGGACCTACAAAATGGATTCAACTGCACCTGTAGGAAGGGTTTCCATGGCAATGGAACCTACTGTGTTGGTAAGCAAACATGTTATATACTTGGTATAATCTTTTCTAGCATCATACAGGTTTTGAATATTTGTTTTGTTATTTGATTCACTCTGCAGAGCTCCTGATATGATTTAGCTCATGTGGGTACTGTACCGACTGTATTTTGTTGGAGTGGGTATTATGAATGTTGAGTGGGTATTTCATTTTCTGTTACCCACTGCTTTCAGATATGTGCATATTTCAGTCATTTTACTCGCCTAAGTATTATGTCATTGAGTAAGTTTACTAAGCAGGTATGTTCTGCCTCATGTCATACCTAATCAAAACCAACTTAAATATAATGGAAATGATTTCATAAACAATCGCTCATCCTATACTGACAGTACAACACTAGTCCTATACTAACAGTACAACTTGATAGCAATCTGTGTCTTTTTCATTACGCAAGCTATTTTTATAAATATATTCCGTACACATTTGTTTTAAACTTTTTGCGTATCCAACATTTTAAATGCGTAATTGGTATGCAACAAGCATTTTTCAATGCGTTAATTGGAAATTTTCTATGCAAATTTTTACCCGGATACGCAGCTTATCTGGGCCTCTGACTCTGTTTGAACAATGTTTGCATTTTGTGTTTATTACTCATTTGGCGATATTGATTAAGTGGGTGTTTCAGTTTATATGAATGTTTCTGTTGCCTAGACGACTGTGAGGGTTACTGTGGCAACCACGGAACATGCCACAAGGACAACCAGGAGGAAGTGTTCTGTACATGTAACGATGGCTACAGCGGACCACGGTGCCAGGAAACATCAGGTGAGAACAGAACTAGTTGTGTCTACATCACCATACCTAAACCCAGCATGGCTGGTTTGTTGTTAACACTGCACTCAGCAGTATTAGACCAGTGAGGCATAGGAGTCAACCAGCAAAATACAGAGATTACGTAATGAGTGTAGTAGTGAAGTAGTCAGTGCCAAAAGAAGCATTTGCATCTACATCATGTACTGAAACAGTCTGAAGTGTCCAGAATTAGTCAACCAATTGACTGACCAGTGTCTTACTGTTGTAAATAACAAGGACTTGGTTTTAAAAAAAAAGGAGAGGGAATTGTATTATTTTCTGTGATTCTCCAGAAGATGTGGAAAGGTGAAGCAACATGAGGAGTATTTACTGTGATGTTTTATATATATTTTTATAGTCATATTTGTAGAAGAAAAAAAGTAATTGTCAGTCTCATTTTAATATACAGGATAAGTAAATTATTTTAATCTTAAGGGAAAGAGGGAATGTAGTGTATTGGTGATAATAAGTTGTGTCACTAGTATTATCTGGGTGACCGGAAGCGGCATGGTCTGTATGGGGAGTCATGAATAAAGTATGGGACTGTCAAGACGTGTTTCTCATCTGTGCATGTGAGGAACCCTGCCCTGGCAAACACTACACCAGCTATATGGTGGCGGTCTGTAAATATTCGAGTCTGGATCCGACAACAGCATGAGTATCTATCAACACAACTAGGATACGATGACATGTGTCAACCAAGTCAGTGCGCCTGACCACCTGATCCCGTTAGTCGCCTCTTACGACAAACATGGGTTGCTGACGACCAATTCTAACATAGATCTTCATGGGTCTCTTCACAAGGGTACCCGTGAAGATTTGGGTTAGAATTGTCTTCGGGAACCTATGCTTGACGTAAGAGGTGACTAACAGGATTGGGAGGTCGGGCTCGCTGACTTGGTGGACACATGACATATTGCGTAGATCAATGCTCATGATGTTGATCACTGGATTGTCTGGTCCAAAATATTGCTGAGTGTGACATTAAACAACAAACAAAACTGCTTCACGAGGGTGTTTCCTCTGAAATTAACTCACACGCTGCCATATTGTTAAAAAAAGCACTAAATTCAAATCACTCACTTACTCCTGGGGTAAAATATCAGCATGGCAGCATCATATATTTGAATGAAAGCATTGTATTCAACATGATTTTACCTCTGTTGATGTTGACACATGTCATCGTATACCAATTGCATAGATCGAAGCTCATGCTGTAGATCACTGGATTGTCTTGTCCAGACTTGATTGTTTACAAAGTGCCACCATATAGCTGAAATATTGTGGCGTTAAACAATGAACAAACAAAACAATATGATTTTACCTGTGTTGACTGATTGCCTTCCTTGTTGCAGCACTGTCAGGGCTGACTGATGCCATGATTGGAGGAATAGCTGGCGCCGCAGTAGCACTGGTCATTCTGCTAGTGGGGGTGGCTGTGTGCTTCTACAGGTACAGATATGTTGTGTGTGGTACAAACGTCACTAGGGTTGGCCAGTTTGTCTGAAGTTAGCTGGGGTGGTGGGGTAGCCTAGTGGTTAAAGCATCCACTCGTCATGCCGAAGATCCGGGTTCGATTCCCCAGATGGGTACAATGTGTGAAGCCCATTTCTGGTGTCCCCAGCCGTGATATTGCTGGAATATTGCTAAAATGCGGAGTGAGTGAATGAGTGAGTGAGAGTTAATATTTAACGTCACATCGGCAATATTTCAGCCATATCGTGATGACAAAATACGGAGTAAAACCATACTCACTCACTCACTCACTCACTGAAGTTAGCCTCAGTCCTAGAATATTAAAATATTGTTTCAATTAGAATATTAATGTACTGGATTTCATTACAAACATTTGTCATCCAATCATGTCAGGGGCATTAGAGGCCTTGCGGTCTGAAATCATTATTTCTCGTGAAGAGTTGTAGTCCTTAACATTGTCAGGATCTGCTGATTATTGTTCAAATATCAGATTTGCCCACACTATGACCTTTGGCCTGTTTTTGCCATAGGTGCAATGATTTGTCACCCAGTTGTGACTGCACTGTGATTGTGTGTAGAGTTGCTTCCCTTACAAGTGGCAGGATTGAATGGTTCATTCCAGGCTTTCGATTGGAATCAAGTGTAATTGTTTTTCCATGCTGCACTCAGCAATATGGTAGCTATATGACTGTCATCTGTAAATGATGTCTATATGAGAAAGGGGCAGTGGGGTAGCCTAGTGGTTAAAGCATTCGCTTGTCATGTAGAAGACCCGGGTTCGATTCCCCACATGGCTACAATGTTTGAAGCCCATTTCTGGTGTCCCCCACCGTGATATTGCTGGAATATTGCTAAAAGTGGCTTAAAACCATACTCGCTCACTGTAGATCCAGTGATTGATGTTATGAGCACTGATTAATGATCAGGATATAATGACATGCATTACCTAAGTCAGCCGGCCTATTAGGTCAGGTTGCTGGGGACCATTTCACAAGAGGTCTGGAATAAAGCTGATGAGCTGTGTTGTTCAAGGTGGCCTTAATAGGCATAACTCACTCATTCACTCATTTCTCCATTGCCATGGTTACAGGTCACGCCGTGGCGGGCAAGGAGTTGGTCAATGACCGCATCTACCGAGACAACAAACCACCAGTCGCCTTCCAAAACAATGCTTACGAGTCTATTGACCGAACACCATCGTCGATGCTGAGGCTTGAATCAAGCTCCAACTCCTCGGACGCACAGCCATGGAAGAGAAGCGTGTTCTCCAACCCTGATGAGGTAGACTCCCAAGTAATTTTCTCATCTCACTTGTGAATGCCTGTGACACCTGACCGCCTACCTGCCTGACACCTGCAAGACACCTGCCTCACCTAACACCGTCTCTTTTGACCATTAACTGTACCATGTAACCCCACGCTGTCAGACATTGCACTTACCTTCACACTAATACTGTACTGTGAATCATGTGAATCTAGAAAGTCATATGAATCTAGAGCATATTTGAATCTGGTGAATCTAGAGATTCATATGAATCTGGTGAATCTAGATAATCATATGAATCTCAGTGAATCTAGAGAATCATTTGAATCTGGTGAATCTAGATAATCATATGAATCTTAGTGAATCTAGAGAATCATTTGAATCCAGAGAATCATTTGAATCTAGAGAATCATTTGATTCTAGTGAATCTAGAGAATCATTTGAATCTAGTGAATCTAGAGAATCATTTGAATCTAGTGAATCTAAGAAATAAAGTGACTCGAGAGAATCATTTGCATCTTGTAAATCTGGAGAATCATTTGAACCTTGGGATCTAAATGATCGTTTGAATATTTTAAATCTGGCAAATCATTTGAATCTTGTAAATCTTGAGAATCATGATCATGTGAATCTAGAGAATTGCGTGCATCACGGAACTCATATGAATTAGTGTTCCCTGCACTTTGTAGAAAATTCTACTTACTTTGCACCTTGAATCTGATGATGCTATGAGGCACTTGTTTAATACTGGTACATTTTCAAGTCCAACTATTTTCTCGTTGTCTTCAGTCTGCTATGTATAAATTATTAATACTACTATTATCTACCAGAATAATTATTTCTTCATCATCTATTGGGTCTCTAATAATTTAAGATTAAGTTTGCTGTATTTCAAATAAGCAAACCTGCACAAGAAAATAATTGGACTTGAAACATTTTGCTTGGCAGTTGCTCCCCCGTCACCATGACAACACAGTTATACCACTGATCCTAGCATGATGGTCTGTGATACACTGAGATTTACCCAGAATGCATTGAGCCTGACCTACTTCCTGTATGTGAACCGAATGCCCCTAAGACTCATTACTGTTACATTGACAGACATGTTGAAGTTTTACATGAAGGTTTTACAAGTAGGTTTTACGAGATGTGACTACGAAGGTGTACATACAATTCAGAGATGACCAAATTGTCTATGGTGATAATGTTTACTAAATACATACAGGGACCTATAGCCTGTACCTTACTGACCACAACTGCAAGCATTAATCTTGGACATCAGGGCCAGATACTATGGTTGTGACGGTAAAATACAATATTATCATGATCATATCAGTTTTGTCTTCAGGAATAAGTTAGTATATGACGCAATTCCTCTAATGTTTTCAATGATATCATTGATCTGATTTTGTGAATGGGACTGATGAATCAATATTTATGTTTTTCTGGTAGAATGAAGGGGAAGACATTGATGCAGTAGGTGCCTTTAGCATGTGATTTATGGAGCTAGAGACAGGTGAATGATATAAAATGGCCCTGAAAACTTGATTGAATTCTAAATGGCATACTTGTATACTACAATGATTACCTCAAATGTTTACAATATATGATTATTAAATTATGATATTTATCAACTGCCAGCATTACTCACATCAATTTGCTTTAACTTTCCAGTGAAATTAATGGTTAAATGACATAATCAGCATTATGGAGGACTGTAGGTTTTCAATTCTTGATATTATCTGTATGGGCTATTAAATTGTTTTGCACATATCATATTATCAGGCCAGTATATATCACAAGGGTTCCTTACCATTATATAATCATATTCATAATCATAAAGATAATAAAAAACATAGGTGTCCTTAATAGGTCATTTGGCATGTTTGTTTCAATATTGAAAAAAACATGACTTAAAATCGAAAAATTAGGCTTTATTAGTATTTTTTTGCTGAGTTATAAAAATATATGGAAAATGTATGGAACGAAATCAAATGAAATAATAACATAATGACATTTAAATTGCTCTAAACCCATCTCTTAATACATGCTGCATAATTACCAGCCTGGCCAATCAGTGAACTCACATTCCCAGCTCCCTGGGGAGAATACAACCCTGGTTCTAGAAAGGTTTCCTTTACATTACCATTTGCTGTTGGCTGACTTTGGGATGTGACGCATGGAAAGTGGGTGTTTTCAAAAGTTAACAGTTATTAAGACCACATTGTTTCGGTTTTCTTAAAGTTTTGCTTTGACTCTATTGATTACTAACATGCAGTGTTAGAATGAGTTTTATAACCGTCTCCTTGCACACTTAACCATAACCCTTCCATTACAACTGTTATCACTTATTTTGATGTTGATTCTTAGATGTATATATATTTGATATTTGTAACATTTGATGGTGAATATTTAGTTTATGAAGCGAGTTGTGTCATGTTGTACAATATCTACATCATATCACGTCGTGTCAACTGAAGTGATTACATACGAAAGGTTGTTTCAAACAAGATTAGTTGTGCTGACACACCAGTGAGCAAACTCTGAAGGAATTTTGGATTTGAACCCATATTGGATCCTGGTACATGTAAGGGCAGTAACTCTGCCTGGCATGTTTCAGTGCCATAGGCTACTGTCATTCATACCCCTCAAAATTTAGAAAACTTTTTTGTACAGGTTTCCAGTTTGATAAACGTGAATAAAGCATTATTATTTGACCAAATAAATTATACACAGTGCCAACACTGTCATCTGTGAGTGATATTACATTTCTATCTAAGAACACATAATAAAGCAATAAGACATATATATTTTACTATGCATCTTGCCATATTGCATATTGTATACACCGGTGATAGAATGCATTTGTACAATTTGCATGATATTAGCATATTGTTAATTCATTAGTATTGTCACATGACTAATATTTGCTTTCACATTTGCAGTTTATTTTACCAGCATTGCTCACACATGTAGTTAGTAACATCGATGATTTTTGTGTAATATTGATTTTCTTCTTTCCATGATGAGAAAGGTGTTTACTTTTTGTACAAACCGGTTGATTTATTTACTGTCTCATTTACCCAAGAGTTCTGACATCGCAGGCAGTTAGGGAAATACAACATATCAGGGAATAAAGCCTATTTTCACTATTGGTGGTTGTGTTGTTTGTGAATATTTCACATGATTCACAGGATAGTACTGTTTGAATATCTATGATACTGAGAACGTTTATGTATTACGAAAACATTGATTTACTGCAGGATTTGGAGGTTGACAGGAAGCCATCACCTAAATAGAAGCCACAAAATCCTTCCACATCCATAAGAAATCTCTGCTAAAAGCAGAGTTGATTGTACAATTGTGACTATATCATGAGTATATCAATTTTGTTTCAGCAGTATTACAGCTGTATGATGTTGTTTGTAAACAAGTCGAGTCTGGACTAGACAAAATGAGATTGTTTACAAAACATGTTTACATTTGAAATACACAATGCCATTTTAGAAAGTGGTCAAATGTAACATTGGTTCTATTTGGGATTACACTTTCTTAGTAAATTACAGATTCTAGTACTTTTATTGGGTTGAGTCCCATTCTGGATTCGAACCCACACCCTCAGAGTCAGGCACCTAATCGCCAGCACACAAAGTCAGACTCCCAGACCGCTCAGCCACCACGGCTTCCGCAAAAATGGAAGTCGGACAACTGGTAGTCTTGGCTGCGGACTTTGTGTACCCCTCTGATGAGTGTTAATTGGCACGGTCCCACGGCCGAGAAGCTATGAAATACACAATGCCATTTTAGAAAGTGGTCAAATGTAACATATTTGGGATTACACTTTCTTAGTAAAGTACAGATTATACATGTATTGTACATGTATAGCTTTCACACTTATACCAATATTCCCATAATAGGATCCACAATTATTTGGTATTATATACATGTCATTTAAAGTCCTAACAATACCCCAAATATATCTTTCACAATGTTCAACAATATTCCAAATACAAGTCGATAAGGCATATTTTATATTAATAATCCGAAAATCAGATTCCCAGTTAAACGATATTCAAAATATATTGTCAATTATAACAATAATCCTAACATAGCACTCCCGCTTACTAATATTCAAAATATATCATTCATACTTAAAATAGTAATCCTAAAAATATCATTCCCAGTTGCTAATATTTGAAATACATCATTCATAGTTAAAACAGTATACTAATATATCACTCCCAGTTACTAATATTTGAAATATATTCTTGATAGTTTTAATAGTAACCCAAATATATCACTTCCACTTACGGTTTAAGAGTGAGTGAGTTTAGTTTTACGCTGCACTCAGCAATATTCCAGCTATATGGTGGGGGTCTGTAAATAATCGAATCAGGACCAGACAATCCAGTGATCAACACCATGAGCATCGATCTACGCAACTGGGAACTGATGACAGGTGTCAACCAAGTCAACGAGCCTGACCACCCAATCCCGTTAGTAGCCTCTTACGACATGCATGGGTTACTGAAGTTCGATTCTAACGTGGATCTTCACAGGTTTACAAGTGTAAGAAGGGAGATTGGTAAATTATGAAAATTACAGAAAAAAATTGTATTGAACAGTACATACAATATTACAAATAAAACGTGAGAATCATTCTGATAATCACATGGAATTGCTACTAAAAGCAGAGTCTATTGTACAACATGGACTTTATGATAAGAATGGTGTATATGAATCACTAATAAATAGTGATGACACCAGGTGTCGAGAAAAAGGTGAGTACATCTTGCCTCAGTCAAGGACACCTCACAAACGCATGGTCATCAGCAGCCCATGCTTGTCGTAAGAGGTCAGGGGTGGTGGTGTAGCCTAGTGGTTAAAGTGTTCGCTCATCACGCCAAAGACCTGGGTTCAATTTCCCACATGGGTACACTGTGTGAAGCCCATTTCTGGTTTCCCCGCCATGAATATAGCTAAAAGCTGCCTAAAACTAAACTCACTCACACTCACTC